TTAAGACTTGCAATACGCAAATTTAGCTCTTACATAATGCATCTTTAAGTGGTGGTTTTAACGATTGACATAGGAATCCATGTATCGGCAAAAATGAGATTAACTTTTTCTCAAAGTAGCTAAGTTTCTAACAATATCATTTTATCATCCAAAGTCTTCGACATTGAAAACAATAATTATTTGTCAATTTAAAGTAGCTAAGTCTCTAACTCAATATCACCCAAAGTCTTACACGTTGAAAACACGTATTATTTGTCAATTCATATCAACATTGATGCTGTGATCTTACCGGGAAAAGGTAGGCTTCTGATATCCGATATTTAAGACAAAATAAACATTTTACCATTGGTACACGGATCGTGTAACATAGTGCGTTTCAGCGTCATTGGTAACAAGTGACCAGAAAGAACGAGGCTAGACATATTCCACAACTCATGTCAAACGATGACGCCATAAATCATCTGGAGAGCATGTGCAATAGACTGGAATAACCAGACGCTAGAAATTTCCATTCGGTTGAGACTCATGTCGTGTTTCGCTGGACATAACTGATTTGAAATTAGAGTCAAAACGGAAACAATTGAATGTAAATCAGTTCATATACAATCAGAATACATTATTATATTCGTTGCGATCCATTTGGGTCAATTTCTAAGTCCCAAATATTAGCGATTTAGCTCCTTTACAACAACATTGATATTGTGATCTTACCGGGAAAAAATGGACTGTGATATCCAATATTTAAGACAAAATAAACATTTTACCATTGGCACACGATCAGTGTACCATAATGCGTTTCAGCGCCATTTGTAAAAAACTACTCGAAGAATGAGGGTTATATGTATTTGTTAAGGCAAGCTCAATGCAAGGTCGTAAATGTAATGTACATAAGATTGTTGGCGAGATTGTAGGTTAGGGGTAGGGTAAAAATTAGGGCTAGGTCCATGGATTAGCTCTAGCCCTGTTTACATCTCGTGACCTTTGACCAAACTTGAAGTTGGCCTTATCAAATAGACCTAACAATTCCACAAGTCATGTCAATCGGTTACGCCATATTCTTTCGTTCCTGGAGTTTTACGTTCACTTCTACCATGGGTGATACCGTAGACATGTGTTTCCTAAGAAACTTGCCAGGGGAAGCCACAAAATAGGCTTGATCCAGCTTTTTGGGGTAAGATACAATGTCTTTGCAGGGAAGCGTCCAAGGTGAATTTCGTCCAAAGGAGAAGCTCTGGGTGTAAGAAATGAAAGAATGGCGAGCGTGCGCAGTCTGGCCCGCATTGCCATAAATGCTACGATCTTAGATAAGGTAGGTAAATTTAGGTTTTTCAGAGAGCCGCCGCCACTTCTTCGCGATCTGAAGTTCATAAACCAGGTGAGTTGACCTACTTAAGTGGTGGTTATCTTCTTTTGGGACAGTACTCTAACAATTGACATTGGAACCCATGTTGGAACCAATGTTTTCCGCAAATGTGAGACTAACTAGATTTTTTCGATCACAGCTACCGGGTTGGGCCGTTCTTAAGTTACGTTTCTATGCGTGTCAGCAAAAGTGAGATTAACTCGACGTTTTCTCGACTGGACAAAGTGATAATTTTGTCCGTGATTTTGAGGCTAACCGCCACCTAGCTCCCCAACTAACAAGGGCGGTTCTAAATCGCATCTATAATGGGTTACTTCGGACCTGGCCACCTCTAAAGCCCCGTTCCGAAATCCGTCCTTGGGCCTAACTACAATGGAAACTCCTTAAAGTTGATCCATCTGCTATGTTTCTACTTATATCCCAAAGTTTATATTTGATACTTTTGGCGAGACAAACTAAATAAATTCCCAGAAAGTAAGAAAGCCGCGGTATCTCAGTTCCTCGGAATTTTCCGGTGTGGTTTCCACTTTTCAGTGCTGCGTTGGACTTGAGGCCTGGAAATTAAGAGCTGTTGTTCGGGTCGAACGTAAAATACGAGGTCCCGCGTGCATATTCGCGTACACACGAACCCTTGACAGTTGTAATTCATATACAGTCTGTAGACCAGGTCCAGAAAAGGGGCTAAATTTTGGATGTTTGTGTTGTGTCCAGTTCACTGACATTTAATTGGCTGGTATGCTAATCTAAACAACATGTCCGACTTGATAGCATTATTACCCTTATATGATGACAACTATAAACCTGCCTGCTATTGGGAGTATCAAATGACATCATTTATTATAATCGGTATCATTTCCGGGAAAATTAGTTGTTTATTTATTCCAAAAACCAAGTTTTATCATTAAAAAGAATGGTAGTGGATGCCAGAATAAAGAATTGATATCTTTTAATAAAGGTGAGCTATTTATAATTATAATTATATTCTTTCTGAAAACAGAACATATGTATTATGTAGTTTAATTGGATAAGGATTTGCATGTCTAAACCCGAGACAAAGTACTGTAGTAGTGGGTATTCGCACAGAATTTGCAAATACTTAAGAAACTATCCCGATTTCAAGAGAGTCAGAAAAATAAAAGTCAGAGTACGTATGAAATTTAACCGACAAAATATAGAGGAATGATGTATATACCTTCTCTCAAAATTCCAGCTCAAAATATTGGGTCGTTTGGACGTGAACATCAAAACTGCTTATCCCGACACGTAACCCTTTTAAGATTTCGGATCAGTTTTTTCGTTGGGTGATCTGATAATCGATTTCCGTTCCTTGGGAGGTCTTTATTGTGAATGACCCATGTGCTGCACTTGATAACGAAAGGTAAATTTCACCTACACATTATTTTTTATAAAATAAACGTCTGGTTTTATCCAGATACCGCATAATACATCTTGGGACACCGGTCTCCATTTCCAGATAAAGACTGACGGGTTTAAGTTGTTTTAAAACGTATCACAAATATTGAGTTAGTTGCTCGGGCCTAAGGTAGAGTATTTTAAGGGATTTTAACACAAAATTAAGCAGTTTTATTCTCCAAGAAATATCGGGATTAGCCCTTTAACTAGATAAAATTTAAAATGCTCATTTCATTTTAAAATTAAAGTAACATTTCTTAAACTGTCATTTCAAATATGGTGAATTAACTTAATGATGAAGTTGATAGATAACAGCTTATTACATATGGAGACTGTCATATAACCAATATTCTAACCAACCCAATACATAACATATTCTTTTTATTCAAGGAAGAACACAGATACCAGACCAGAGCTGTTTTTTTAATTTGAGAGGGCTCATTTCATCCGGTCCTGATTTTTATACGACTACATGTTCTTGTGGATGTATACTGCTGTCGCCATACTGTCCACTTGTCCGGCCATAATTTGTTTGTGACACTCAACAGGTCACAATTGTTATCCGAAGTTGACAGAACTTGAAATATAGGCATATCTCCCAAAGATCTTGGTTTCTTTCGATATTGGCATGTACCAGACTGGGTCTCGTGTTTAGCTTGTGGATCCTCTAGAGGTCACAATTTTCATCCAGTTATATATTTAAATCCCAAAGATCTGGGTTCCTAATGTTGATACTTCAGACCGTAACTTGCTGGATTATGACCACTGATTGTAAAAAAAAACCTTTGTTAGCTTGTTCTGTCCATCTAATGAAGACGGCATATGCCATACAGTGTGCTATGAGAGAAATTTTGCCCAGGCAGCTGCACCATGGCTTACTCATATCGAATTCCTACTGCCAAGGTATCTTTTACGTGCACGCTATGTATACTCTGGCAGTCGGTTTTGGTACCATCCGAACGACTGGACGGCTGTCCTTGTCAGTCCCCCCATCCGGCACCACTGACAAGGGGAAGCCAGGGCGGAAAATCCCAACAAACTTTCTCGACCACTTAGCAACCGTGGCTCGCAACAATTTAAGATACTGATGATCAATAAAAATGTAGACATTTTAGAATATTTGGGAGCTTTTGTATACAATTCGTTCATATCTTTGTAAAGTTGTGTATCTTTGTATAATAATGTACATGTATATTTATCTTTGCTTACTGCATGCATCTTTCTATTATTTTTATTTGTATATGCACATAACCTTGTAATTTGTTTATGCAATAACGTGTCTTCTATTACATCAAATTTAAAATATAAAAAGCTTAGTATAACTTTATGTAATATTTGAATCAAATGTTATTTTTATTTATTAAATTTTTATTTTAACTTTTTTTTTCTACATTTAATTTGAATGTGAATTAAAAGTCTCATATAGAAACTGATCCAAACCCATCTAAATATAGAGAAGTGTAATATGATACTTAGCATGCCCTAAACACAACATCATCTGTATCAGATAATTAGGCTACAACATATTGTCTTTGACAAGTTGATGACAAGATTCTCTTCAACAGAACTGTATTGTCTGTGGGGGTCGCATTCCTAAATTTGAGGAAAAATGGCTAATTTCCACCTAGTCCAAGCACTGTATAGCACACTGCATGGTGTATGCCCGTCTTCATTAGCCCGGGTGGAGCTAACTCCATTTCATTCATTCAGAAAGTGAGACGAAATCTAAGCTTACTGAATGCGATTAATAAACAAACAAATAGTGCTAGCTATTGGCGAAGGAATTGAATAGGGTGTTCTAGAAAGTTCTTCATAAAGATCAACTATATTACGCCGTTTTAACAAAACATTTTAACATTTTTTTTCGTATTTTTTTGGTCATCATATTTCTGGGAAATTTATCCAGAACCGAATCATAAATCCATAAATCATTTATTTTCATAGCCTGAATTGGGTCAAGTATTTTTAAAATCGAAATAGAAACTAAGAAGGAAGGAGATTTAACATTTTGTCAAGGACGCCTGTCTGTAGTTCTATTTCGGTCGCAAAGTTCCTATTTGTGGCTATGATGACATAAGGGAAATAACCTCTTTTAAAGCTGAATTACTTCCCCTTGTATATCTATAAATAGAAATGAGAGCAAAAGCAAAACATTTTTAACCAATAAAATCGAAAATTTGTGGTCATGTGACTACAACTGTCCAATTACCGTTAAGTGGGGATTCCCCACCCGACTTCCCTTATTGAAAATTTTAAGGAAATGTCGATGCAGTTTTACAATTTACATATAATGTTTGATATTATTTAGGCATTTAAATCAATGTTATATTTGGATAAAGTGGTAAGCAAATAGCAGTCTGGTGTTTCTACTGCCAAGTACAATTTAAAATTTTGTGGTTTTTTTTCAACAGGAAAAAAAATGTTTTATGTCCGTGCACTAGCTTGCTCATGCCTATTTTTTTGTGTTTTGACCTTTCCTCATTTTCAGTTTGACACAACGTTCGAGACCCAGGGCAAAGGCTGTTTAATATGATAAACTATATTTTGACTTTCTAGCAGAAATTAAATTGTAGCATTGCTCAGAGAATCTGACAAATGTTATGTCAGTAGCCAATTCATGAATTTAGAAATGATAACAAATGAATGATGATGACTGATGTACCATTAATTCACTGAGGCCGAGTAGATAACAAACCTTACCTCTCAACCCTCTGTGTTTCGAGATAAGAGATGATGCTATTACCTTCAATGTAGCACATGCGGGAGCGATTCGCACCCGGCATTTGTAAACAAAATTGACAATACTTTTAATCAAAACAACGATTGGTTATTGTTATTTATAATATTTCTGCCACACCCAACTAAAATTAAGCATATAATCCTACCTGAAACGGGTACAAATCCCCTCTTTTTAAATCAAAGCGACAGTAGATTGCTTTTTCCGACATTTTAAATTTACGTCTGTAATACATAAAGGCGGGGCCTCGTGTGCAATAGCCAATCAAAGTACCCATCCGATCAGAGTTGCGCAGTAGTAATATGGCATAATTATGAACGTTCGAATCAATTTTGATTTACTTTATTTACTTTATTGTCAATATTTGCTGATAAATGAATGTTGTTTCAGTAGATTGGACTGCGTATGTGTAATAAGTACTAATAGTATAAAATTAACTTATTTTTAAGATGGTACATACATTAATAAAGAAATTGAGTTTGCCACTTGGAACTAAAGGCATCCAATCGTAGCTAAAAACAAGCACATCAGTATATCTCAGCGTTTTTAGTTACGTTCTCGTAGCTAAGGCCGAGGGGCCCTCACTAAATCTGTGAATATTCAATAAGGCACTGGCTAATACTGGTTTCCCCTGGCCTTATCAGTGGCGCAGGATGGAGGGCCTGGCAAAGAAAAGCATCTGGTTTGTGTATAGATGGGATGAAAATAAAACAAATTCCAGGCTACACATTGGCTAGTTTAGAAACCTCATCCTTCGACCCTGTGTGTCTCGAGATAAACAATGGCATTAGGCAATAGACAAAAATGTTAAATTTTTTCTTCCAAACAATGATTGATTATTGTAATCTATTACATTTCTGCCACATCCAACAACAATTAAGCATATAATCCTACCTGACACGGGTAACAAATCATCTCTTTCAAATCAAAGCGTTCAAAGCACAGCAGACTGGGCTAAATATATGTCGTGTACAACTGCCAATCAAGATACGGGACATAAAACAACAAGTTAAGAGCCTTTGTAATTATGAATGGCCTATCCGATTTTGTTAAAAACACCCGCTTGATTAACTTTATTGACAGAATTTGCAGATCACTACATTGGGCCGGATATGTTTAATTAGTCCTAATAGTAAAGAATTAACTTATTTTTAAGATATTACATGCATTAAAAAAGAAATTATGTTTGCCAAGTGAAACATTATCTCTAATGTTTGTAGTTACGTTCTCGTAGCTACACATTTAAACATACATAAAGCAAGAGCTAAATCTGACTTTTAAGGTCTTTCTTTAGGCCTGAAATGTTATTTACTATTAATTAGACATTTATTAACAAGACAAGCCCATAATTACATGTAAGTCTTGATGCCGTTGGATAGGTCCGATTTTAAGTATGTAGATTAGAACAGTTCAGTCATTTAATAAATTAATCTAAAAATGGTGAAGCGAGGCTAAGCTTCAAACAACCAGTACAGTGGTTACAATCAGTGCACACATCTTGTAAAATCTTCAGAGGCTAATATCTTCGCTCAGAATAAAGTAATTTGAATGAAATTTTCAATATATTCATTTTGCATTATCTATTTTTAGAACTAGTATAGCAAGAATGTTCAGCTCTTTATCTAAATCTTACATAATGTATCTTAAGCATATCTGTTTTTAAACTTCTGGAAGAAGCATGTTCAATATGGCTGACATCATATATCTCCTTATACATGTAGTCCTTTAATCCAGAAATTCTAAGGAGTGGGTTGATGTTGATTCATATTTAAAGGGAGGTCTCCTTTATTTACATTCAACGGTTTCCTTTATATACATTATATTCATATGATGTAGCATTGGCGTTTGGATTTCAGATTTGACCGAAAATAGAATTATCAGAAGATGCCCAGTATTGTCAACTCTTTTGCAAAATTGCTGAATATTCAACAACATTGGGGATTGGTCAATCAATTGGTCAACTTAGTGAATAAGATTTATTGTTTTTGTTAATGGGGGCTAGAATATATCTTATATCTTTCAAACTACAGAAGAAAAAAAAAACAATGCTTTTACACTGATAACGACGCCTTTAAAGTAATTATGGTTCATGTCATGATTCAGTGTTTATTTTTATACCTTCTGGAAATTCCAAAATTATTAGATCCTGTTCAATGTTCAGCATTGTAATTTTAACTGCTTTTTATTTTTTATAGAAATGGATGTAAACAATGATTCAAATGATTCTATTGAGTTGCCTCTGGATACAAGAAATAATGTTGTGATAGAAAATGAATTTCAGCATGGTATTAACGGTTTTGATACACAGATACAAGTAGGAAGGGAAGAGTTTGGTAGGTGAATTATGTAGTTGACTATATTTTGGAGGTTTAATGTACAGTTTTTATTACCACCATAATCTTTTTTTTAATTTTTAATTACCAGTACTTTATTTTACATTAATTCTTAGGAGCCAGATATTGGGAAATAATAATATTAGTATTTTTAGGGGGTTGGGGTAGGACTAGAAATACAAAGTATGTCACCACTCTATTCCCCAACTCCTTGCTTTGAAATTTGTATCTAAAAGCAATTGTTCGCTGAATTAGTAGCTACATGTCACGTTAATCATACATGTATATTATATGATTTATAGTAAACTGTGGTGTTATTGTCTCATTTTATATTATTAAAGTTATGGATCGTCAGTACCATCCTACAGTAACTATAGCAGAACAACCCCAGTCAAGAGGTTTTAGATTTCGATATGAATGTGAGGGACCATCTCATGGTGGACTACAAGGACAGAAAAGTGAGCGGGGAAGAAAAACTTACCCTTCAATTAAGGTAATTAATATTACGAGGATAAATTCTGCCTCCCTGATTATTTTATTAACATGCAAACAAATTAATGAGATCCACCTCAAGCATCCACAAATTATTGTGTTTGAAACAAGTTTAAAACATCCATTCCATTAAAATATTAATGGACACATAAGAAAAGGGCTTTGATATGTTGATTTTAGTTGTACTGGACAGAATTTCTTAAACATACATTATGCAAGGTCTTTCTTTAGGCCTGAAATGTTATCTAAATTATTAATTAACCTATCCAGACCATAATCAACTCTCTATGTCATCGCTAGCCTGCGATATTTACTGGATTAGAATCCGATCTACTGCTCAACGCTCATTGATGATTAAATAAAAAAATGGATAATCAAGATCGATGATCAAGGTTAAGCCTAAAATTCAATCGTTAAATTCTCAGTTCAAAGGGGATCAATTTGACTGAAGCAAATTCCCTTTACATTATCTAGTTTTTAACTATTATAGTGGAAACTGCCAGCTCTTTATCTAATCTCCCATAATGTATCTTTAAGTTGATGTTTTTAGCAGACATTAAAAAAAAGTAAAGAACAACTCACCAAAGTGCTGAATTTTTTTTATTTGCCAAACAAATGATGCAATTATACCTTAACAAAGCTTGGCAGTCAGTTTATTTCCAACTTTTTTGTGACTTTATTCACAGAATATCATACCATTGTCACATTTTATGTAGGCATCAGGTACAAGGGAAAGAGTTTATATGTTACCAAAATGTAAATTATTGTTTGTCATATTTTAATGTATTGTTTCAGATTGATAATTATCGTAACTCCGCACGAATTATAGTTTCCCTAGTAACAGCTGATGAATCTGATCCCCCGAAAAATCATCCCCACAAACTAGTAGGTAAAAACTGTGAGGATGGGATATGTGTTATGCATGTTAAAGATGGCCATGGACCTATACAGTGAGTAATATTTTTAATTGGATTTATAATTATGAAGATATCTATGGACTTTAAACCATAATTCATTATTGAGCAAATCCTTGAGGGCTGTTTCAAAAATAACATACATGTTTTTCCATCACAAGCTTCAAATGTAATGAGAAAGACAACTCCTTGCAATGTTCCTAACCCCTGATGAACAATCTCAAAGAGCTTTAACAATTTTTGTTCAAATTTTAAAACAGTTTATATTTAGGGCCATTACACCATAAAGCAAGCTTGTGGATCCTCGCGGTCACGATTTTTGTCCGATTTTAAAAACTGTTTAAATATAGCACCGTTACACCATAATGCAATTGAGTCTTTATTTCGTGAAAATTGAAACAAAATGGCCGCTCCTTGTACGCAATTGTGTAAAAGTATGTAATACGAAGGTTGTGGACCCTCTAGAGGTCACAATTTTTGTCCAATTTCGATGAAACTTAAAATATATCCCAAAGATCTCAGTCCCTTTCAATATTTCAGACCATAACTTCCTGGATAATGGCCCCTGATTGTACGAAAAATTGCGTGTTTTTTTTGGTTTTTTTAGTTTGTTCTCTATCCCTCTCTTGCACAATGTGGGCATATCTTGCCTGGCAACTGCTAGTTAGAGTTGCATCCCTTCTAGTGACGATGAATTAAGATAAGAAAAATACATAGATATGATATGACCCTTCAAGAGAGAAGTTTTTCAATAAATGACATGACAATTATTGAATATGAATACATGGGCATCAACATATTGTTTTGGGCCATTTACCACCTTTTTGACAACCCGTTCAGACAAATATTCATAGAACATTTGTCTGAATGATATAGACTATGTTCTGTATAACATTCACAAGTTTTAGCGTAAATGGGGAGATAACTCATCAATTTTTTTAGAGAATAATGACCCAATGCATAATCCCTGCAAATTTGAATCAGATTTGTTAGAACTCTGACCAGTGTTGAGACTCTATTAACGTACTGTGTGTAGATAACAGATGGAAATTATTGAGTCTATAAATCAAAAATAGGATATGAAAAAAAAATTAAAAGGGTTTCCAGCAAGCTTCATCAATTCACAGTGGTTGATTACGTTCACAAACATACAGCCCACACAAAGAGACGAGAAGAGAACGTAAGCGGCAATTAAACCACGTATGTTGCTAACAACACAGGGTCATGACATGTGTCTTCTGTTTAATGACTTTAACTAGCAAAAATTTATGATTAATATACAAACTTATTGAACTGGCAGTTGCTCATGCGTTATTAAGTTCACAGCTCAGCCTGGACTAGTGTTCACATGACACCATATTGATTTGTCTGAGTATGCAACGGTTTATTGTTGTACTGTAATTTCAGGTTTCAAAACATGTCAGTACAACATGTCACAAAGAAAAAAGCAGGAGAAGTTTTACTAAAAAGAATCAAGAACAGTATTATTCGAGATAAACAGACAGCTATGAGAGATTTAAAAGCTCCGATGTCTTTGACATGTGAGTATGCAAACACCATGTTACCTGACTGTAAAGATATATTCCGTCATAATAGGACATTTAATCAAATCCCCAAATTTATTATTATCTGAAAATAAAGATGTTTGTTAAACCTGTAATAATGAAATAATAATAGTAAAATGGTATTAGTGTCTTACGTTATGTTGAAAAGGAAAAATGAAGGATGCTTTATGACAGTTCATCTGAAATTCAAATCACCGATGCTCGCCAACTAAAATTGAATTTATGACAAAAATAAAATGTTTAAGTAGCTTAGTTAGGTACACTGATGTATTCAATGAATATCAGCGAAAAAACTTCCAATTCTCATAGGAATATATCTTTAATGAACAAAACGACTTGGATATGGCAAAAGAAATTGACTTGGATATAATTAAGCAGTTTTATGGTTTTGATTAATTTTAACTAGGAACATAACTCATCTTCTTCTTCTTGTTCTTGGTGGCGATGCTCTTCAAAAAAAAGATGTTAAGTCTCTGCGAATTCATATACAATCAACATGAAACTTGGCATCTTTGTTCCTAGGACAAATTGTACATTGATTGGCTGGTTTTGATTTTTGATAAGACATCATAATTCCAAGATGGCTGCAATGATGTCATCCTCAGTTCCTGGTCCATATAGTATGCTCGTTATATACTTCATCTATATAATTAGCAAAACTGTGTTATTTATTCTGCATGTGTTTGGATATATCATTAGTTGCCTTAATATGAGAGCAATGATAATAAAATTTTGAAAAAATAAAATAGCAGGGTACAGCTTCAGATACAATATACATATTTAAAAATTTGGTAAATGAGATAATCACATTAGGGCTTTTCGAAGCAATTCAGTTCTTAGATTCTTTTTAAAACACTGAAACTTGAATAAGTCCTTTTGACTCATCCATGTCCAGTAGGCCTATAAAGTACATAGATTTCATGCATGTTTTTTTTATGATTTGATACATGTAGTTCACAATATTCATGATCAATTTTCTATTTTAGGCGAGGAAGAAGAACATGCTGAAAAAATGGCTAGAGATCAAGCTAAATCTACACAGTTAAATGTTGTTAGATTGTGTTATCAAGTTTATATAGAAGATCATAATAGACAATGTGTTATACCTCTAGAGCCTGTTTATTCTTCTCCTATATATGATAGTAGTAAGTATATTAGGGCTGACATATCGTGATTCACCTTCTCACAATTTGCATATTGAATCGTGAGATGCTAATTTGATGTATTGCGATTCTTTTTTTATGTTTTTTGACGTTTCAGTAAGTAACCTGTCGCTCTTGATAATCCACGTTGCACATTATCCATAGGTACACAAACACTCTTAAATTGTTTTGGTCCTTATTTTGATCCACATCAATATCGACATTTGCAGAACTAGAAATATCAATTATTTATTTATTCTGTTGTTTTCATGATAAATATTGACCAGATTTATGATACAAATCATTTCGTGATACAAATCATATCATAGCACATGAATCACAAAACGTATTGTATTGTGACTGCAGTGGCAATACCCAGCACTAAAGTATATCATGTGTGTGGGGGGGGAGGGGCACACAGTGGACACCAGGCACATGATTGGAGAACCTCGTGAATTTTGGAAGATGGTAACAAATTAGTATGATTTGGGTATAACAATTCAGCTACCTAAATTATAAGGAATATAACCTTGAGTGTTATGTTAACTTTTTAATATTGTCGTAATTTAAGGTCTATTTGGAATATTTGAACAATAGGTAGACTTCTGTTAAAATAATCAAAATTTCATTTTTTTGGTCCGCATGAATCATATTCTAAGATTTGCATATTTGTAGCATTAAGTGAACTATTTTTGTCTGCTTATAGAATCTCCAGGTGCTGCCACATTAAAGATTTGTAGAATGGATAAATATGGAGGATGTTGTACTGGTAATGAGGAAGTCTTTCTACTATGTGAAAAAGTTCAGAAAGGTATTCAGATTTGAAATCATTTCCAAGAAATAAAATTTGTTATATACAAGTGACAAAAATAGTCTTACGGCACACATGAACTGTAAACAAATGGATATTTATGAATTTTCATTATGTTTTTTGTGTAATAAGTATGTTTTAAAAGTCTCAAGTGAGATGTTTATTAATGTACTAATGTTACAGAATGGGGTTGGCTTATAAATATCGCTTATACAACCTAACATACAGGTTAAACTATCACGCACAGTGCATTTCTGTAAAAGCATTGTGTAATGTACGATTTGAAAAGAATGACATCACATCTGTATTTTAAACTTTGTATAATGGACACCATTTTATTTATTATTGATAGACGATATATCAGTAAGATTTGTGGAGTTAGATAATAATGGAGACACTACATGGGAAGAGTTTGGTAATTTTGGTCCCCTTGATGTTCATAGACAGGTAAGAAATCAGATGTTTTTCAATTCCATTTTCATTTTCTTACTTTTCTTTGTAAATCCTTCAGTTAGCACACTAAGATATCCCTCCCCCCCACCCCTCCTGTTAGTCTTTTTGATATATCTTTTTCAATCACTTTTTTTGATACAACCAAATGGAAGCTATAGATTTGAGGCTGGTATTGCTACCTCCTAAATTATAATTGAATTACCTAAAATGTGTTAGTGCTGCTTCATAATAATTTTAACAATAGTGTAAAAAATAATATTATTTCAATCATCTATGTATTTATGAAATATATGTGTATTTTGTATCTTTCAGTTTGCCATTGTATTTCGTACACCACCATATAAAAATCCTAATATAGATAGGGCTGTCAATGTCTTTATAATGTTACAGAGAAAATCAGATGGAGAACAGAGTGACCCAAAATCATTTACATATTATCCACAAAATCTTGGTATGTAATAATTTTTGTTAGAAATTATATATGTCACCCATATGCTCAAGCATTATGTATTCTAAAATGGCAAGAATTTAGTGTCACTGATATAACAGAGGGGAAGTATTAATTCAAAACTATATTCCAACTGAAAAAATGAAATATTGGTCCTATCTTTCTGTATCAATTGTTGCAGTGTGCTGTGAGAGAAATTTTGCCAGGATAGTAGGGATTCCACTTACCCTTCGTCAAATTCCAACCGCCAAAGTTTTTTTTTACATGTACACAGGACCCCATTTTTCATCCCATCCGAAAGTTTATACACTGTTCCTCCTGCCTGAAAAAAGTAGAGGAACTTTCTCTTGCGTGGACGTATGTCTTACTCATGGATGAATCGCTGAAATGAAACTTCCTTTCAAATTGAAGTCTATTTTCATATACATTACATTTTTTGTCTCCTAAAATACAGAATTTATGTCGTCAATTTAATCAACTAATGACTTAAAAGCATTCATAACAGGATAGAAACATAGGATTATATTGATTGTATTTTATTTAGATAAAGATGAAATAAAGAAAAAGAAAAGAAAGAAAATCCCCCTAGACAGTTCCTACCCTCAGTATGGAGGGGGAGTGGATGGTTCTAATGGTGGGGGTAGTAATGGTTATGGTGGTGGTGGTGGGGGACAAACTGAATATGGTTCCAGGACAAACCAGTCTAATTGTAAGTATGTTAATTATAGCCTATTTTTTTATACTGTAGTTGCTTTCTTGATCCTAGCTATTTGAATATCACAGTCGACTGGTCAAAAGTGGTAACTGGTGTTCCAGAAAGAGTAGGCATATCTCATCTTCAATAGGAGTTTAGACAAAGTTTTGAACAAACTTTTATTTAACCTGTAAATATTTTCTTTCTTATATCTTCTGGAAAAAGACTTATTTAAAAACCAAAACTGCTTGGTTGTACTGTTCAAAAGCTTTAATGTCAAATTTTTAACTTTTTGAAATTTTAAACAAAAAATCCTTCACATGATTTAAACATGCATTATGCAAGAACAAAATCTGCTTATTACAAGTCTTTCTTTAGGCCTGAAATGTTATCTAAATTATCAATTAGACATTAATTAACTTATCCAGACCATAATAAACCTCGATGTGGGCTGGATTAGTTTCCTATACGCCGCTAACGGCCATTGATAATTAAATCAATAAAAGTGGATAATCGAGAATAAGCTGTTTATAATAATGATTTTAGTAATGATGACCGAGACTATGCCAAAATTTCACCCGTTTCTTTCTCGGCTCATAGTGGATCAATTTGACTGAAATTTTCAGCAAATTACCTTTACACTATCTAGTTTTTAACTATTATAGCAAGAACTGCCATCTCGTTATCTTATCTCCCATAATGTATCTTTAAGTGGCTATTTATTTATGAAGACCCTGAAGAACAGTAAATCAAAATCTTGTGGTCTCACTATGAATTTTCTTCATTTAGCAGTCTTTAGTTAGTGTATAGAAAATTTATTTAGTACTAGTATGTTATTTGTGTTTTGTATTATAGCTGTAATTACTAATCAATCAGCACTACCTACAACTGTTGTACAAGGTATGTTAAAGTTTTATTATTAGTCCATCGTCCACCTCAGACAACCTGTCGGTCTCAGTCATAAACTGGGTGGTAGGGTAATCTAATGCGAGCACTGTAAGATCGTAAGGTATTTTTATTGAATCACATGGCGTGGTTTCGATCCCAAGCAAGCTTGTACATGACAAGGAGTAGGGTCACTTGCATAAGTCTTATCTGGTTCCTCCCACTACTAAAGACCACTGACTAGAACATGCACAGAAAACAGGCTTTTGTAATAAAATAACAGCATTACATATTAAACAGTTATGATAGATGAACTTTCTTTCTTTTCCAGCTGCAAGGGATTGTTACGATAGTAATCCCAATAGTCCTTACTCTCCATTTTACCACGAATACAGTTCAAACGTAATGTATGGCAACCCAGATCTGGCTACAGACAGTGAACCGGTTTTACCACACGATTCAATTTTCGCCACCAAAGATTTTCCTGAAGAACATCAAGATTTGGACGATGTGGATGGACTGTTTGAAAAAATGAGGGTAACTGACATAAAACCAAAGACAACAGCACAGGTTTCACCACAGGCTTCACCAAGAGGTTCAAGCCCTAAACAAGCCACTACAATAGAGACATCTACAAAACAAGCTGAATCAGAAACAGAGTACAAATCTTCAGAATTTAAAAGCGTTGAAAAAGCAGGTGATACTCTTTTTTGTTCAAAACAATACATCATTGATGGAAATGGCGAGAAAGAATAGCAGTGTTATAGTTTAACAGAATTTCCATTTGCAGCACTTGGCACAGAGCAGATGTGTCCTTGTGATGTTCCCTCTGTACAATAACTCATAGAGCCATAGTATCCAGACTAGACATTTTTGAGCCATATCTTGTAAATAGTTAAAGAGGAATTATGGGAGATTAGATAAAGAATTGACAGTTCTAGCTATAATAGTTAAAAAATAGATATGGTAAATAGAATATGCTGAAAATTTCAGTCAAATTGCTCCACTCTGAACTGAGATATTAGCTTTTGAATTTTAGGCTAGCCTTGATCATCATTACTAAAGTCGGTACGATAGAAAACAAAATCTCATTTATCCATTTTTAAGTTTAATCATCTGTCACAAAGTGTATTCCAATCCGCTAAATATCGCAGGCTAGTGATGACATCGAGAGTTGATTATCGTCTGAATAAGTTAATTAATGTCCAATTAATAATTTAGATGTCGTTGTCATTTCTGGCCTAAAAAAAAGACCTGCAATAGGCAGATTTAGCTCTTGCATAATGTATGTTTAATGGAATTTGTTGATATTGTTTTTCAGTTGAAACTGAATCTATGAGTCTGGATCAAAAAGGTGAAGCTGTAAAGATTATAGAAAGAACAGTAACAGCCATGCAGGATTATGCTGAAACCAGTGATATTAGATATCTATTAATAGTTCAAAGACATCTTGCCTCAATACAAAATACTAATGGTGATCTGTAAGTAAATATCTTCAAACTTAAAGCCCCAATAATCAGACTGAGAGGCAAATATAGATTTTAAGACAGTACACACTGCACAGTAATCGTAGTCTTACCAAAAAGTATATAGTCCAAAATTTATTAAAATCTCTATATATAAAGTTATAAAATATATGATACAGTACATTAGAACAACCACTTACTACTACTAAAAATTTATATATTAAGTTCAAAATACTTTCTATTGATTTCATGCTGCCATGTTTATTTCTTTGTAATCATTTGTCTTGGTTTCAGAGTGTATGGGTATTTATTAAAATTTAAAAATGATAATTAAGCACTTTTATAGAATTATCTGGACAACAGTTATACTTATTATTTTTCTGTGGCAAACAGTTGTTCTACCACAATTCTATTTGATAATATTGATGAGTATTTTGTGTTTGTTTATTATAGCCCAGTTCATCTTGCTGTTATAAATGAACAATTACCAGCTTTACAGAGTTTATTAGGTGTTATGGCTACATTACCAAACTGCCATGTTAAAGTCAATTCATTTAATTATCTTAGACAGGTACGATAAAACAAGTTTACATATTCCATCTTTCTTTTACTGTCATAGTTGATTGTGTACAAGGGCTTTACTGTAATGTGTATTTTAGTGGGGGAGTCACTGTGGCTCAGTGAGTAAGGCACTGTCTCGCTAACCAGGCAGTTCCGGGGTTCAGTACCAGTGTTGGAGCAAAAGTTCTTTAGGATAATCTGGCATGGTACCCACTTGTCAGAGATGCAAGGTGGAGTGCCTGACAAGGACATAGCCTAGTTGTTCAGATGGAACAAAAATCTGTCATCCTTTGAACAATTTTGCATGAACTTAAAAGATCCCTTGACAGTTGGGATTAAATTGCTGTGCAGGCTTAATTTTCCTCATAGTACACTGTATGGCATATGTTCCTCTTCATTAGCCCAGTCAGTGCAGAAAAGTAGGATGTTAAACCCTATTTATTTTATTTATCACACAACCCTTTCCATCTTTTTAATTGACTAATAAAATTCATTTAAATTTGGAATTAAATTGCTGTCCAATAGAATATAAAAGTTATCATTCAAGCCTTATCTACTGTAGAATGTGTTATTGGGTGATATGTGTATATATCAAATATTTTTTTTTGGTTCTAGACACCTCTACATCTAGCAGTTTTAACTAAACAACCAGAAGCCATAGAATTATTATTACAGCATGGTGCTGATCCAGCTATTATGGATCGGGCTGGTAATACACCGGCTAATCTAGCTGTACAGTATAACTCTATTCCATGTCTAAAATCATTGTTAAAATATGTTAGACCTGGCGTAACACCTACATGTCCTTTTCCTGAACTCAACTACATGAATTACGAAGGTAATATTCATTATAATAGTTTATAAGAAGTTATTGTGGTTTAAACAATATTTTATTTCGAGTACGACATGATCATACTGATATTTATTGAATTTGAAAACTAGTAAAAGTTTATCACTGTAACCTGGGTATCATTTAATCTTGTGTATCTAGCACTAATTTCTTTCACATTTGTTTAACATCAAATCTTTGTTTAAAAATTTGTAAAAATCATTTAAAATCACCCAAAATCATTCATTTCACACATAAGAATAGAAAATGACTGTTTAGTCTAAAATGAAGGGGGGGGGGATGGCCGAATGGTTAACACGTGCGAGCTGTATCATAAGGTCTGTCATTGAGTCAACTGGCGTGGTTTTGACTCCCCAGTTGTACGTGACAAGGAGTAGGGTCATCTATCCAACCTCGTGGGTTTTCTCCAGGTCCTTCGGTTTCCTCCCACTGCTAAAGACCCCTACGCGCAATCAAAAGATTGAAATAAGATAAAAACGTGTTAGTCTCAAAATGACCTAGTTTGTGTTGAAGAAATAAAACTGTTTTATATCACTGTTTTGGATCAAAATAAGGACCAAAACAATTTAAGAGTGTTTGTGTGCCTATGGACAATGTGTGACATGCATAATTTAGAGTGAAGCGACAAAAAATCATAAAAAAATAATCGCGATACATTTATTCAACATCACGCGATTCACTACACGAATCGTGAGATGGCGAAACGCGACTCAACGATATATCGTGTCCGCGCTAGTTTGAATCAAACTTTTTTCAAAATTTCCCAATCGAACTATGTTTGGTAATTGTAGAAGTGATAGAAACTAAATTTTGATGGAACATTTTATGTCTAATCTTTAATAATTTATTTTACCAGGTTTTTGCCCATCTCATATCGCAGCACAGAATAGTAGTGTAGAGATGTTAAGATTGTTGTTTTTTGGTCGTGCTAGTTTAAGTTTACCAGATGGTAAAAGTGGTAGAACACCATTACATCATGCTGTAGAAAGCGATGATATATCTGTAGCTAGCTTTCTAGTCATGGAGGTAAATAAATGTATAGATTTGTATGGGAATGCTTCTATCCTTTTGTCTTTACAGAATCGTTTGTCAAAGCCAGAGTTAGTTTAGCTAATTGTAAGGATGAAACCAATTATAAGTCATAGTCATTATTATTATTATTGTTCGATTTATATAGCGCTTCATTACACATGAGTGTTTCTAAGCGCATTCACAACAAAACAGTTCAAAAACATTTTTGAAATAAGTAGGTTTTTAAGTTAGTCTTAAAGCTCTGGATGGAAGAGGACTCTCTAAGAGTTTTTGGAAGATCATTCCACATTTTTGCTGCTTTGACGGAGAAAGCATATTCACCAGAACGCTTATTATATTTGGGGATCCTCAATATGCTACGATCACTTGAAGAACGAAGGTTGGATCGCTGGGGAGTATAGAAATCAAAGAGTTCTTTTAAATAACTAGGTGCGGTGTCAGAATAAATTGATTTAAACACATTCACAAGAGCTTTAAATTGAACCCTCGCTCGAACTGGAAGCCAATGGAGTTTCTGTAACTTAGCTGATATATGATCAAATTTTCGTGTTTTAGTTATAAGACGTGCAGCATTGTTTTGCGCTATTTGTAGTCTGTTTAAAGCTGTTTCTGGTGCTCCTAATAGAAGAGAATTTGCATAATCCATGTGCGATGTTACTAAAGCTCTAACAACACTCTGGCAAGCATCAGTATTAAGATTAGAGCGTATTCTCGAAATAGCTCTCATTTGATGATGCATTTTTCGTATGATACTATTGATTTGGGGAACTGGGGACATAAATTCATCAGTAACATAGCCGAGATTTTTAGCCTGCTTCTTGGGAGATATAGAGCAATCACCGATCTGAATGGAATCCGCTTTAAACAATTTACTGGATTGTGATTTTGATGATATGATAAGAAATTCAGATTTGTCATCGTTAAGTTTTAGCTTATTTCTGGTCATCCATCCTCGAATGTCATTAAGACAAGACTCAAGTCTACTGATAGAATCCTTGGAAGCAAGATAGTTGTTGTGTTGTCATGAATTATTTATTTGAAAAGTTATTGCCCTTGTCATCAAAACCTTGTAATAACTACATTTCATATTTTGGAAAGATTTCTTTTCAAACTTCCAGGAGTTGTTTAAATGGACATCAGGATATAGCTCCATGATATTGAGAGTCCTGTTTCTAATTTGCATTGAATAGCAATGGCAATATATTATTACATGGCCACTTCCATGATGTTTTTAATTCCTTCTCTCACCAAGTTTTGAAGAACTGTATTTTGTTTTCTTCTTTTTTTCTAGTTTTAAAAAAAAACAAACAATATATTAATGTGAATATTTTAGGCTGAAGCTGACGTAAATGCTCAATGTTTTGATGGTAATACACCTTTACATATGGCATGTGGTCGTAATCTTGTTGGTATGACAGCCTTATTAATATCTGCTGGAGCTGACGCTAGTATAGAGAATGAAGAAGCCTTTGATGAAGGTTATGGATCAGAGAACGGTGATAGGACGGACAATGGTAGTCATAGAGACGGTGATAAACGCGGTATGAGACCAGCTGATTATGTGAAAGATAATGAAAAGGTAATGTTTACAAATAAATACATGTAGCCTACATTAAACAAGAAACCAATGCATAGTCAAATTAAAGTGATTGGAAGGACATCTATGTATTGAATGCTTCCGAATGGGCATCAAGATTACTGCAGATGAAAATTAATGTGACCGGAAGGGTATCAATCTAATTGAAATGAATGCAACCGGAAGGGAATCAATGTAACCGTGTATTAACTAGAATTATGTGATCCATAACTGCATATTGAAATTAATGCAACTGGAAGGACATCAATTGTAACTGTGGATTGAACTTTTAAAATGCTCAAGAAGTCATCGCATCATCAATTCACATTAGCTTTTTGCATGCATTAAGTTCTTGGGTTATATTTATATACTCTTCAAGTAAACCTAATTGTTTCACTACATTAATGACATGTTATATTTTCCATTCCACTCATAATTACTCCCATTTGAAATCATAGTTCTAAACAAAGCAGTGACATGGCATTTTTAATAATTGTATATCATTTGGAGGATTGGGTGACCAACTGCACTTTAGATCATAAGGTCTGTCATTGAGTCAAGAATTGTGGTATAGATCTCGGACTTGTAATTTAAATTTGAACATTACAGATATTAAAAGTATTATATGGTGATAAATACACAGGGGAGACAATTGACGATGATGATGATTTAGAACATGATGGAGTTGGTGAAAGTACATCAGCAGCATCTACTTTTAAATCAACTGGTTTAGAAAGTGGTCTTGGTAGTTATGTTTCAATACCCGCTAAAGGTATGGTATTCCTGTATTTTTATATAATATTTATTAGATTAATCTTTTATTAACAGTAAATAATCACAAATAAATTAAATTTTCAGGGGATTTCTTTGTTCATTTTTCCAAATAAAAATTTTGTACATACTTTCTAGTGAATTTGAACATTTAAATCAAGTGAAATTGGTTCATTTATACACCCTCCATTAATTTGAGAGTATATTGAGATAGATTAATATTTCATAAATTTATGAATAGCTGTGTTTTTATTTTTCATGTGTCTTATTTAGTCAGAGAGAGAGAGAGAGAAATGGGGTTTAACGTCCACTCGACACAAACTAGGTCATTTCGGGACTAACATATGGTTCAATTTTATTTCCATAATTCACTCGCGCGTAGGGGTCTTTAGCGGTGGGAGGAAAATGGAGGACCCGGAGAAAACCCATGAGGTTGGACAGGCGACCCTACTCCTTGTCACGTACAACCGAGGATTCGAAACCACGCCAGCTGACTCAATGACAGGCTTAATGATACAGCGCGCGTGTGCTAACCATTCGGCCATCCAACCCCCCTTATTTAGTCAGAAAAACCTCATCATAAAACAATTTTGGCATTATAGTCCTATAATACTCAAAACATGTGCCAGACCAGGGTAAATAAAAATTCTACTCGCAACCATAGAAAATAATTAGTTACTGTCTAGTCTCAAGGTTGGTTGTTCAGTCAAGTTGTATGGTTTCCATCCCAAGCCTGTACATGAAAAGGAGTAGAGAGTGACTCTCCAACCTTGTGGGTTTTATCCGAGTCTGCCTGTTTCCCCCAACTGCTAAGGCTCCCTTAATGCAAACTATTATTGTCCTCCGCCTTTCAAAGAAAGCAGGGGACTATTAAAATAGGTCTGTCTGTCTGCAGTAACTTTCCTTCTAATTGAGCTAGAATGTTCAAAATTGGTGTAGGTGTTTATTAGGTGAATGTCTTCCTGGAGTTTGAAGATGAGCATGTTCTGGTTAGGGTAATCAGAGATAAGCAATTTGATTGGTTGATGCTTTGGGACATGATAACTTTAGTTCTAATTAAGTGAGAGTGATGAAACTTGTATATTTTCATTACATGAATACCTTGATTAAGTTTGATATTGAGCATTTTCTGCTTAGGGTAAATAGAGCAATAAGCAATTTGATTGGTTGAGACTTTGGAGCTCCACAACTTTGATTCTGAGTGATAGTGGCGAAACTTTATGTATACTTTCATTTCATCAATACCATAACAAAGTTCAGTGCTGAGCATTTTCTGCTTAGGCAAAGTAGGGGCTTCAATCTGATTGGTTTAGACTTTGGAACAAGTATAAATTCATTATATTAATATTTTGACTAGTTCAATAATGAGAATTTTCTGCTTACCCTAAGTAGCATTAAGCCATTGGATTGGTCAAGACTTTGGAACATAACAACTCTGCTTTTAATTGAGGTATAAATGTTCATTAGGTGAATGTCTTGTCTGAGTTCAATGATTAATATTGCCCGCTAAAGCTAAGCAGAGCTAAGCAATTTCATTGGTCAATGCTTTGGGACAAGATAACTTTGATTCTAAATGATGGAGAGTGAGTATTGTTTCACTATCTGGTACTTCAAATCCTGACTGAGTTTGATCATGAACATTTTATGCTTAGACTAAGCATAGATATTCAGTTTGATTGCTCAATACTTTGAAAAAGATAAATGTACAATTAATTAATATGTGTCATCTATTTATTTTGGGATTTCGGCCCGGGACACCAGCCTCACTGTTGGCTTGTTAAAATCCGTTAATCAAAATTTTTATTAACTTTCTACATTTTATTCCTTTCAGGTGATATCGATAAATTAGATTTTAGAGTAAGATTACAGTTATCTCAGTTATTAGACCCTGTTAATCCAGGTCAAGATATCTTCTCGTTAGTAGAGATACTGGGTTTCCCTCATCTTAATAATGCTTTAGAAGGTATCAAAAATACAGATACCAGTCCAACCAGCTTTCTTCTTGATTATTATGAGGTAAATTTAGACCATTCAAATTTATACTACAGTGGACTCTGTCACTTCCGACACCTGAATACTGCAGCATTCTGTGAAATCCGTCATCATTTTCATGTTCTGATTTATTTCCTGATTACTTTAACCAAAAATGTTTTGAGTAATCCGGATTCTGAATATTCCAAATTACGACATCAATCACACGATTATGTCACACGATTTGCATTCAATTAACATTGGATAATCTAGCCTTCAATCAGTGGGTGTTAACCAACAAACAATCGCCAATTAATTATCTGTGAGCAGATAATGTTGATTACCTTGATAATTTTATAATCTCTTGGTATAAGTATTCAATTTGCCATACTACATTTTAAAGCAAATAGATGAATTCAATGAGTGATTAAAGGGCGTGGACAAACACAACCTGTCAGTCAATTGGTCGGCCAATTGTAAGGCTTGGATGACAAGTGCTATTTGGTCAACTTTAGATGATTATATATATACAAAGTAAATTAATTGTTATGGAATTGTTTGATATAATTTAATAAAATTTTGAATGTACAGTAAGCATTATCATATTTTAAGTTCTGTGTATTCAAGGGTGCATTATGATAAAACTCACGATATTTGAAGGTACAATAATACTTCCAGTATAATTGAGGCAATTGAGTATTCCGACATACTGTCTAATCCGGCATATTGTATCGACCCCGTATGATGTCGGAATTGACAGTCCACTGTATATCTTTATTTATAATTCTGATTTTCTACGGTACATAAGGTCTAACATATTTTAAGAAGAGGTGTTGTTTATGCTCATAAAATTAGGAATATTTCTTCTTATAACTACATGAAATTTGAAATGTGAAAATAAGTTCTGGTTTTAAAGAGATTATTTTAACTCATATATTAGATTTTGACATGTAGGACGTGGAGCATAGTTTGGAGAAAAAACACATTTCTGGTTCAGGACAAAATCTCCTCTCCAACATGGCAGATCCTGTCTGGGAAAATAGAAGTTTAATAACCTGATCTATTTATTTAGAAAAACACATTTGTAAAGTGATCTATTTATTTAGAAAAACATATTTGCAAATTGTGTAGGTTTGATAGTCTGCCATTCAGATGTGATGTATAATAAAAAGTCGGGTTCCTATTGTGCATTTTCTTCTTTTTTTTTCAGACGTCAGAAGGAACAATACAGAAGCTAAGAGATGGTTTACAAAAGCTGGGTAGAAGGGATGCGATTATTATTATTGATAGTTCTATTCATAAATAGTACATTACTCTCCATATTTAGTACACTCAAATTCTATGTTTCATGAACTGTGTTAAATTTCAAGTTTTATCATTGAAGTTCATGCGGTTTAGTAGAATTTCACAAATCAAGTCTATCCTACAGCCTACTTGTGATTGTCAAAATTTAAATGTTCTGTGTGTTGTTTTGGAGATAATCTGTCTTTGAAAATTTAATTTAAATAGTTATAAATCATTAATACTTCCTAATTAATTAATTTGACACAATTGTTGTGCGTGCAAGTGATGGCAAGATGACTGATCTGTAATAGAGAATTAGCCTGACACATGGGAAACATATTAATCGAATAGGAGACCATGTAAACATTTAATTTCATAAGACAGAATCTTAAGCATTGTCTGGGCAAAACTGTCCCCCAAAGAAATAAAAAAATAACCAAGTTATATTGACAAGACATTATAAGCTTCATTCCTTTCCCTTTAAAGTGTAGTCACATATCATTTATGTTTGCAGTAATTTAATATGAAAACATAAACGATATAGTCTAAACATGCTACAATGATCTGGTTATTATTTGCCACCGTCATTTATAGAAACACTCTTTAATTCAATTGAACAATCATGTGCTGTCTTCATGTGTAAATATTCCACAACCTGAACAAATTATATATTAAGGGATCAGAAACAAACTGTGCTTACCCATAATTTTGGATTTTTTTTATTTTGATAAAATATGGTATGAATGTATATTGATTCCTGTCCAGTTTATCATTTCATATAAAATTACTTTGCTCGAAATGGGCCAGCAGTGGCAATTGGACAAAATTAGATGTTTCCTAGTCCGACATTGTGGATGCTCTGGAGGCTAAATTAATCATCCAACTGACTTACGATTTATACCACAGCTTTGTTATGGTGTAACTGGTCAGGGGTAACTTGAGGAGGGGGGGGACATGTTTTTTTTATTTTACTTCTACCATAAAATTTTGTTTAGTCATAATTTGCTTTGTTATGGTGTTTTTATAAATATTTGATCATCTTTTTGATTTAATCAAGAAATAACAATTTGAAAAAAATACATAATGGGCGATTAAGGCCATTGATTTATCTTCAAAATTAATCTGCCAGATCCCTTTTCTCAGAAAACCGTTCATGTGGGTTAGATCAGTCTGTTTCCTTGTCCTTCCAATATATATGATTAATTTGATGTATATGTATAATATTGTTCAGTGTAGAGTCTACATTGTAGACTATTGTAGAGTGTTAACTCTTACAATGACAGAGCAGATCTTCTGTTCCAAAATTTTGTAAATTGGTTTCTTTTTAAGAGTTTAAACTCTCTAAATATTAAGTGCATTTATATGTATAAAAAGAGAATATTTGTTTCTTATTGATATTCATAAAAAGATAATATAGTTGTGAAATGTGAATGAGTTCTGACAATATTTTATTTCAAATCTTAAAACACCTCTATTACAAATAACACATCACTTTGTAGCAGGTGAATAGTGTAGTAGCCTATAAACTGTATGCTAATGAATGGATATCTTTGATCAACACAAACAATACTTGCAGTGGACAGGAGGTCTTTATTATTTATTTAGTGCAAGTAAATTAATCATTTCGATCTGTAATTTTATTTATCATTTTATCACTTAAAAATAATTGTTGGTGGAATAAAGGTCCACCAGATTCCAGGCAACCTGCCTTAACCGATTTATAAAACAAAAATGTTATATTGTGGTAGTTAAACTACATTGAAGTTTATTAAACTATCTTGGATAAATATGAATATGTATGATTTCAGACCTTATTTTCTTTCATTAGTTAATAAAATTTTATAGATTGTTCAAAAGAAAAATTCATAACTAAAAGGATATTTTGCATCAATATCATTGGAAGTGTCTGAAATGTAGGTATATTTTACATTAAAAAAAAATTCATTGATGTCTTTTATTGTTGATTTTCTATATATTATATTTTGTTATATTTTGCCATATTATTTTTTTCCGTGTATTATGATGTATTTATCATCTTTAGTATGTAAATGTAATAAAGGTTTAAGCTAACAGTCATGTAATTTATATTCTAATGAAAAGAGCAGCCTTGTGTAAATTTAATATTGTTTCCCCACATGTTTTTAGAGCTTATCAACCAATTTATTGATAACAAATAGTCACTATGTGTGCATATAAAGTAATCTACTAGAAATCATCTTAGGCAAAATAGAAATACCTATGTCAGTGTTTCCCAACCTCTGGGTCGCGAGGACTTTTCGTGGGGTCGCAGACTAGTCTGAGAACTTTAAAAAAAATGCTATCTTTTCATCTTGATCTCGCTTTAACTCCGTACATCTTATCAAGGCCTTCACGTAACACTCTACAATCTACATTTTCGTCACTAATTTCGATTGGTCTAGGACCCAGCTCTAGACCTCTCAGATTCCTTGATAAAAAATATCATCGCGAATACCAAGTCTCGCGCTTTCCAACTGAAATATCTACCTGTGATAATCGAGTTGCAAAGTTCAAGGTTCGTTTAGGAACCGGCTTGAAATAGAAAGGGACATGATTGTCGCGCTGAGTGGCGTTGAGCCACGCATTGAAAACCTGGTCGCTGAAAAACAGGCGCAACCATCCCACTGATTAAAAAAATTAATAATTTGTTATCCGACTTTTAATAAGTAAACTAAACAATAATAAAAGTGAATGATAATGATGTTTCATAGTAAAATGTGACTTTTCGAGGGGTTGCGATCTGATCCTGGGTCTGGAATGGGGTCGCCACCCAAAAAAGGTTGGGAACCTATGAGTGTGGTTAGAAAACTATATTAAGCGATATATTATTCATTAATTAATTTTTATGACACTACTTGTTCCTTTATATATAACAGTTTTGTTGCTTTACATAATATAGAACAAGTCATTTTCTTTTAACATATGTGGTGTTAATAATTTTAAATTGAAATATTGTAATGTCCATTGTGTTTTTCATGCTATATTAACATGATAAAGCTGAAGATATAATTTAACATAGTTCTGTTTATTATTTAGTGTTATGTATGATATTGTTTTAGAATATGGACATCAGTTACAGGTTATTGTCCTGCTCGCCGAATTTGCAAAAAAATAAAGAAGCCTTGTATTGTAAATATGTTTTAATTTCCTGTGCCGGGTGAAAAGATATATGCCAGTTCTGCAAAGTTCAAGGGACCATTTGGTTTCCCTTTTCCCCCCTTTTGCATAGAGATCTTTGTTGACTTTTTGGTTTAGAATTGAAGAAAAAAGGTTTGAATATACATTTTCTACCAGTTTTTGTTGAATATTCATGATTTTGAGGCAGGAGACGAGATTTAAGAGGTTGGTTGGGTTGAAATGTACGGCGGACAGTTGCATGTTTACATGTATGCTACTTCCAGTTTGTGTATCTCAAGTATCTCATACCTGCATTTGAGCAAGAGGTTGCCACATGTTTCTCCATCTGTGGTAGAAAGCGTTCAACTCCACGAAAATTTGGGGAGATGTTATCGGTCTAAGAGACGAGAATTAAGATTAAAGTTAATAGGGAAATAATTGGTGATATGTGACCATTTGCTATCGCTATTAGTATATGATGTCTTACCGACCCAGTTCAAATCTAATACCATGTCATGTTTATTAGAATCACAAGTTGAATAGGGCATTTGTACTCGGGGGAAGTGTCCAATTTAATCAGACGCAGCCCTCGTAACGGGATGTTAGCCAGTGACCGTCAGAATTTTCACGCCCAGTAATCGGCTGGACTATAATTCAGTATCAAAAATTTCACATCGCCAAAGGATCAATTTGGAAACACGATGTGAACTACCACGTAATTTCCTATAACTAGATAGTTATTTAGCTACGATACACTGCCTGGTGCTCTGCTAACTTTGGTATTGTAGGCATAAATTGGCACCTTTATACCACCTATATTTGAGCAAGAACGCGCTGGTGTTTTCTCGGTAAATTGGCGATGAGCTAGTCACCCAGTACCCCCAAAACACAGTAATAATATCGTATTATAAAATATATCCTGGTGATATCAGATGTCAAATATTAATGGACTTTTTTCCGTTGATGTCATATAATTAAATCACAGATTAAAAGCGACTTTACTAGGCGGCACGGTACACAACAAACACCTTCCACGAAGCAGATTCACTCTGCGATTTTGCAATAAGGTTGATTTTCACCCTTAGAATACAATATACAATTTAGCTTTGTCTGTGATTATTGTTGTCTAGCATTAACTAGATTTGTGATTATAATCGACTTCTATGGAAGAGTATATAACACAAGTAATTAATGTGTAAATTAGATCATAATTGGATTAAGCTTAATATAGATAATCCAATGTTTGTGTTACATGTATGATAGTATGTTGCTAACAACAGTCACGATCATTTTTGTCAGTATATATAGGGTGGTCAAATGGTCATTTCTATATCACAGCTCTTCTTAGAACAGCAATCATCAGTAGCTGACCATCTCTATAACCTAACCAGTCAACATGAGAGAAATCGTCCATATGCAAACTGGCCAATGTGGTAACCAAATCGGTGCTAAGGTAAGAAAACTGCTGAAATATTATGGGAATTTTGTACATCATTATTCTACTGCAATAGTTATAGGCTGGGTCTCGTTGTCTACTTTGTGAACATAGAGGCTGCACTCAGCTTGGCATTAAAAGATGCATGTAGACTGTAGTGTGAACTTCAGATCTGTACACACTGGCTTAGAGAATGCAATTGATATAAACCCGCATTTTCCAATGTGATCGGGTAAATTATTAAGTATTTCATTTACTTCAAATTTCATAGTATAAAATATTTCATATTTTCTTTTTCTTTTAGTTCTGGGAAGTAATCTCTGATGAACACGGCATCGACCCCACTGGAACTTACCACGGTGATTCTGACCTTCAGTTGGAGAGAATCAACGTTTATTATAATGAAGCCACAGGAGGAAAATATGTACCCAGAGCTGTTCTTGTTGATTTGGAACCCGGTACTATGGATTCTGTACGATCAGGGCCTTTTGGTCAGATCTTCCGACCAGACAACTTTGTATTCGGACAATCTGGTGCCGGTAACAACTGGGCTAAAGGTCACTACACCGAGGGAGCTGAATTGGTCGACTCCGTCCTTGATGTAGTCCGAAAAGAAGCTGAGAGCTGTGATTGCCTACAGGGATTCCAACTGACCCATTCCCTTGGTGGTGGAACTGGTTCTGGTATGGGAACCCTTCTCATCAGTAAAATTCGTGAAGAATATCCAGATAGAATCATGAACACCTTCTCGGTCTGTCCTTCACCTAAGGTAAATATCCTCTCCTTATCAAACTCAACTACAAAACATATAATAGTACAACAGAAGTTGTTAATATTTTAACTGGACATCCTGTAGAATTATTCACACCGTTGTACAAACCGTTCAATATCATGTACTATTAAGATCTTTATAATACGATTTTAAGAAAATATTCAATTAATCCAACATGGTTGTTTTCTTCCAGGTATCAGATACAGTTGTTGAACCGTACAACGCCACATTGTCAGTTCATCAACTGGTAGAAAACACAGATGAGACCTATTGTATCGATAACGAGGCTCTCTACGACATCTGCTTTAGAACCCTGAAGCTGACCACCCCCACATACGGTGACTTGAATCATCTGGTGTCAGCCACCATGTCTGGTGTGACTACCTGTCTACGATTCCCTGGTCAACTGAATGCTGATCTTCGTAAACTGGCCGTCAACATGGTACCTTTTCCACGTCTGCATTTCTTTATGCCTGGTTTTGCACCCCTTACTTCTCGCGGTTCCCAGCAGTACCGAGCTCTCACAGTACCCGAACTCACCCAGCAGATGTTCGATGCCAAGAACATGATGGCTGCCTGCGATCCTCGCCATGGTCGTTACTTGACGGTAGCTACCATGTTCAGAGGTCGCATGTCCATGAAGGAGGTTGATGAACAGATGTTGAATGTTCAGAATAAAAACAGCAGTTACTTTGTTGAATGGATTCCCAACAACGTCAAAACAGCTGTCTGTGATATTCCACCAAGAGGTCTGAAGATGTCAGGAACATTTATTGGTAACAGTACAGCCATCCAGGAACTGTTTAAGAGAATATCTGAACAGTTTACAGCCATGTTCAGGAGAAAGGCTTTCCTCCATTGGTATACTGGCGAAGGTATGGATGAGATGGAATTTACCGAAGCTGAATCTAACATGAATGATCTGGTATCTGAATATCAACAATACCAAGATGCTACAGCTGAGGAGGAAGGAGAATTTGACGAAGAAGAAGGTGAAGGAGAAGAAGCATAAATTACCAATAACTGAACTTATTTTTGGAACTAGGTCATAGTAATTATTCGATCTTTCGGAGGTCCTAGTTTAACCATTCTGTTAGTTCGTTTCGGATTATTTTTGAGAACATTTGATTAACCCGGTATAATTTAAATGAATGACCTTCAATGTAAATTATTAACTATTTATTTATGTAACTATTTATTCAGTTTATTTAAATGTCGACAATAAAACCTGGTATCTATACAATTTGAGTGACAATGTTTTGAAACGAAATGAACACTAAGTCAATGCAAAGTCATCCCTAACATTTTGGTTTCCTTTTCATTTCCAATCTATATTCTTGACAGTTTTAACGAATACACGTATTATGAATCAACATTCGGTCAATTCAAAACGACCCTGGGGCAAATGAAGATGGAGATACGCCATGCAGCGTGCCCGGACGACGGCACAACGTGAAGTGTTCTTTTATGTGCAGGCCAACATGTACGCTGGGCGCTTTCCTTGCTAGGCCCTCCCACCTGCACCACTGACAAGGTGAAAACACGCCGGAAAATTTCGAGGAACTTGCTCGCCAAGCACAGGGATCGACACAGGACCACCCGTGAGCCAGTGCTTTACTCACTGGGCCACATAAAATAGCAAACCATTGTTGAACTATTTTATTTCCAAAAATTCCTCGATTCAACCACTGAGGGTGAAATTATAGAAACTTGTTGGACTGTGGGTCATAATCATGCATGCTATGGATTAAATGTCATTTTAAAACAGAAATTCATCAGCTAATAAATCATATAACATTCTTGTAATACAATATTTTCCCGCCATTTTGAATAATTAATTTTAAAGTGGTATATTTCATCTAAAATGTAAACAAGTTAAAGCAAATAAATCCAAGTCAGCTTTTAACATAAAACTGTAAGTGAACAAATGAATAAAATAGTGTTTAATGTTCAATGTCAAAGTAAATAATGACAATGTGCAGCCATCTGTGACATTTGTTTATGCTGTGTTTGGTGTGAAGTGAAAACAGTTGGTTAAGAGAAGACATTTGGGTTTAAAGGGCCATTTAATACACAGTATCCTGGACGCTTCAATTAACCAACGAAACTACTGGTAGTATTTATTTCAATGGTCTGTGATGTTGCATAAAGAGACCTTGAATAAAATGGTAATTTATCAAATAAGGTTAGTAAAATAAGGGTAATCATATGGACCTACTCTTAGATAAAGTAAGATTGGGGTTAGATAGAGCCTTTAAAGTGCGTCTTATTCAACGTCGTATTATAAAATTAAAGGGACACTGCAAGAAGGATCATTGCAACACTTACATACGAGTCACTATTATATAAAAACATGTTAACATGTTACATTGATGTATCGGTAATATTAATGTTGGCATTATGTCTTAAATCATGTTATAGTGATATACAATGTACATAAGCCACTATCTTATTAAAGCGATAAGTATAGCTATTCATATCTGTACAGTTGCAGTATGTTCTATAGTCATAAATTAATTAATAATCAAGTTTGTACATTATTTAGCCCAGTAGTTCGCAAACATTTGTTGTTGCAGAAACTTTTGTCATTACTAACTCGTTGACGATAAATGCGCTCAACCCTCTCATGAGCCATGCCCACAACACTGGCAATATGTTGAGTGGTCAATCGTTGATCAGCCATCGCCATGTCATGCACCCAGGTAATGTTTTGTTGAATGGTTGCCGTTGACGGCCTTCCTGGACTTGGGTCATCATCAACTCTCTCTCTCTCTCTCTCTCTCTCTCTCTCTCAACCACGCTTAAATTCCACAGCCCATTTCTATATTGTGGAAAAGGACGGGACATCATCCCCCACTGGCGATAATGCGCCCCATCCTCTCATGAGAGATGCCCACGACACAGGCAATATGTCGAGTGGTCAATCGTTGATCAACCACCACCGTGTACTGCACCCGGGTAATGTTTTCTTGAATGGTGGCTGTTGATGTCCTTCCGGGACGAGGGTTATCGTCAAGGCTCTATCTACTCTTAAATTCAAAGTAGTCCGCCGCAACCCCACGAAAAGTGCCCCGCGACCCCTCGCGACCTAGAGGTTGGGAACCCAGGACTTAGTCTATAATGATCAAAGTGTCCATAGGCTGTTACACACACAATCCCGTACGAATGGTCTAACGAGAGCGCCATAAGTATTAAGGTCTGTTACAACGATCCAACCACGTCAACATACATTGATACCATATAGGAGAAAATTGGTACACTTTTCAGCTAGGTTAACCCCCTGGGCTCCCGCTCTAATATCTAATCTAATCCTAAATTATAGATTTTTAAAGAGCTAAATCTTCCCATTGCAGGTTATTATTTTGGCTTCCAGTGTTGTATAAATTATTATTTAGACATTTATTCACATGAAAAGCTTATAATCAAATCTCTAGACTATCGTATAGTCGAGATTTAAACGGATTGAAACACAATCGACATTTAATGATTTGTTATAGCATGGGATTAAAGAACAAATTCTTCATTTAAAATAAAATAAATAAAACATTTTAATATAAATTCATTGTTTTATAGTATAGATTGTAAATTTGTTCTCTTTTTCAACTATTCCATCTTAGTTTGTTTTTTAAACATCATTTCAACATAGAACCAGTTTGTGGTGTAAGTCTAATTACGTCTCCGGAAAACACGTGCGAAAAACTTTCTAAGCTTAAAAAATCTTCCTCTTTTTTCAGTAAATGCTTGTATTACTATGCGATTTTTGTAAGTACGTTGAATATCTTTACATTCAGAAATACATGTTTGTGATCGTAACGTTTTGATGTCAACCAACCCGGTGCCATAAGCTTCATCGGGGAACAATTCTGTCATAAAGCCATCAACGTCATCACTTTTCACAGCTAAAATACGTCTGATGCGTTCTAGTTTTTCGATTTCATTTTTGAGTATTATTTCCTCTTCGAGCAAGTTTCTAATATTCTTATCTAGACTTTGTGCCTCTTTGTTTTCAGAGTCCAATTTTTCAAATTTCTCTCGAATTCCCAAGTTAGTGATTTGAATAACTTCTGTTTCTTCTTTCACGTCTGCTAAACGAATTTCATATTTCTTCACTTTCTCATCCATCTTTTGATTGAGACCCATCAAATAGTGAATACATCTGGAATTAAAAAAAAAAACAATTTGTAAGTTATGTATACTATATATCCCGGAGAAAAATTGTCAGAACATAATCAAAATCATTTTAAACCCTAATATCTATGGCTCACGCGTTAGTCCATTCGTACGGGATTTCGTGTGTATCAGTTTTTGCAGTACAACATCTGTTCTACATAGAATACAAAATTGAATATTGATCAATTTATGGCTATGTAACACACTATAACAGTCTGCCGTAGTTTCTCTCATTTCACTTGTCATTTCGTGGTCTACACCTTGCAAAACGTGTGACAATACAACAATACATCTTTATCAACACGTGTTTATTATATCCATGTGGTTATCAGAACTATGTAGCCATGACTTTCGCGAACTGATGATCTAGCAAGACGGGTGCCGAACATTAGAAAACTCCTTGTCTTTATTCTAATAAACCGGATGTATCTAAATCGCCGACTCGATCCTGACCCTGGAACTTTCAAAGGGGTGGGGGGCATTCTCGCGCTTTTTTTTCAGTACATGTTAATGGGATTTGTGGAATATTGTTATTAGACTAATCCTCTTACCTATCATGATCTTCTATTTGTTGTATATGTTTCTTTATTTCTCTGTCTAGTGAATTCCTACGATTTACTTCTGATATAACTGCAGTATTAAAATATTATATTTGCGTATAATTACTGAAGAAAAATTGGCGAGGTCTATGTATAGATCTCATCATGTTATTTAATTAATATTATTTATTTGTTATAATTTAAACCTCGACTATATACGTACCTAAACTACCATCGCCGAAAGACATCTCATTTGCCGGCGTGCTTGACTCATCTGGAGTGTTGACCAATTTTTCATTCTTTACTTTTCTAAAATGGGGCAAAAAACAATAATATCTTTGAGATAGAAAGTGACCAACAATAAATCAACATCATGATTGATTAATCGCAAAATATAAGAAAAGTATTTCAAAAACACAAATTCTTTTCAGCCCCAATGAGATCTCAAGAGAGAGGGAGAGAGAGGGAGCAATATATAAATGGTTGAATAATTCGCTTGCGTGTAGGGTTCTTCGATAGTAGGAGGAAACCGGAGAACCAGAAGAAAACCAATGAGGTTTGACAGGTGATCCTATTCCTTGTAAGCGGGAATCGAAACGACACCACTTGACTCAATGAATGGCAGACCTTATGATCTAAAGCGAACGCGTTAAATCATTCGCCCCAACCCCGCCTAAGTTTAGCGCTGTTAATATCTCAGAATTAAAAAGTATGATATTTATGTATTAATTTAATGTCAAGTTCTTTCTGGACCAATATAATAATATACTTAAATATTTCAACAAAGTACGACTTCGTGTACTGATGGGGAGAGCCTGGAAATAGGGGATGAGGTGTGTATAAAAATTGAAAAACAAATTACACTTACCTGTTCGATTTCTGATTTTTCGCCTTTTTCATCTTGTGCGTATTATAATTAGATCTATTTGGATTTAATAATGTTTTGAAAAACACGACCTGCTCCACTAAAACTAGGCAATTCCTTTATTATGACGCTATTCAACTATGACGTCATAATGCACAATCCAGTCGACGTTATTCCATCCAATCGCCTTATTGAAATGTATTTCGTTCTTTCTTGTCCACCGTGCCTTATACGGAAAATCCACAGACTTCCGACATTGTTCCACCGGGGTGTCACGTATGTTGAAAGAAGAAGAGAAAAGAGAGAAACGGGAATTGTTTTTAGAATTTAAATATAAAGAAAAAAACAAGATTAATAAGTCTCTTGGGTAGGGTAAAATTCGAAGGACTTAACATATGGGGGATTTTTTGATATGATTTGATATTATACCTTTAAAAATCCAGGGATCGGATTTATTTTCTCTACGGTCAAGGTTTTATTGTTGTCGTGACACTGTGATTATGAATTTTATTACTAATCTTATAATTATTCAAATAATTGTCTCGTCACGTTAGTTTTCGTGAACCGTGTGCATTTTTATTTTTATGAAACATTGGTTAGTAACGACTGTTCCTTGCTTATGTGGCTGTGTGTTGACTTAAAAGGTGAGAATGTGGCCATTCAAATATTTTTTCTCTAAGTAGCGGGACGTTCTAGGCTTTGATTTGCATGGTGTTTTGCTTTAAAGGGGTTTGGCTGGAAAATTTTCAATACTGGTACTTCACTATAACGTTGATGTTGGTGTTCACGACACTGATTAGGCCTACGTCCTTTTTATAGCGAAACCCTTACTGTACTTAATCGTTTTACTATAAGGCTGCAGGCTGCCATGCTATAAAGCCATAACGTTTTCTGCGCCTTGCTTTGCTAAGCGATATAGAACCCTTGGCAGTTAGAAGAGTAAGAGGAAATAGCACTGTCTGCTCCATCGCACGGCACACGTCACTAGAGAATAAATTTCTGTGTGTTAGTCCCAAAGTACTGTGCTGATGTGGAGTTAAACCGGGTTATGTACCTTTTAAACATTCGTGTTTGGGTGCAGAGCAACCCATTGAACATTCTAATACATCCTATTCCGTTTCGGTTTTGATAGTTCAAACTATTGTTTTACTTGTCTTCACTACATAAGGTGGAGGCAATCAAATATTTGAAAAGAACGAAACGAAATATAGATCTGTATTTTAATCAGATTGGCGTTATACATTTTGACCATTCACGACTAAGGACTTCATTAAGGAAGTTTAATAGATAAATTTGTATTTTCAGATCCTAATCAAAACCATTATGGATAAACATGACATCATATCCGAGATTGGACAGTTCAGTTATTACCAAAGAATAATAGCATTGACTATTTTATTTACCAATATTCCTGCTGCCTTTTCCATGATGATGATGGCTTTTGGTGGAACCATTCCAGATTGGACCTGTTCGGTGTCAGATGAAGCTGTGATAGATTTAAACACTACAAATGTCTGTCCTATGAACGGAACTGAGTGTAAAAGAATATTTTTAACAGAAATGGAAACAGTTATAAATGAGGTATGCATTTATCAATTATTGACAATTGTATCTTATTTATTCTGTAAAAAGGTGGGTTGTCAGACACCAGCCGCTAACGGGTTGTAATAATATTTAAGGATTTGAAAGGTTTTGCTCCATAACAACTATCCAGTGTTATTAAGGATTTCTATTGGGCCAACAACTCAGCCCATGATGTCAGTGTGAGAGAGAGAGAGAGAAATGGGTTTAACGTTCACTCGACACAAACTAGGTCATTTCGGGACTAACATATGGTTTTAATTTTATTTCAATAATTCGCTTGCGCATTGGGGTCTTTAGCAGTGGGAGGAAACCGAAGGACCCAGAGAAAACCCACGAGGTTGGACAGGCGACCCTACTCCTTGTCACGTACAACCAACCAGGGATTCGGAACCACGCCAGTCGACTCAATGACAGACTTTATGATACAGCGCGCGCACGCTAACCATTCAGCCACCCCCCCCCCCCCCCATGTCAGTGTGAAGTTATCTCGATTTTAGTTATTGGTGAATAATAAAAAAACAAGCTACTCCCCATTAATGATTTCTTTAGTTCGTTTTAGAAAACTTATTTAATGAAATGTGTTTTGGAGACATTATTTAGATATCCATCTTTGAAATCTGTTGTTTTCAGATTTACGTCTGAATATCGAAAAACGGTCTACACGTTTTTCTTTATTCGCCAATATTGAAAACAAGGAGAAAGTGCCGTTTTATGTGAATCCACTGATCAGACACCCTCATTTATGATTCTTTACTTCGTTTTAAAAAACAGATTTAATGAAATGGATTTAGGAGACATTCTCCAGATATACAACCTTGAGAGCGAAAACGTAGTTTTTGTGTGAATCCACTGCTCAGGCATCTTCATACATGATATCTTGCCTCGTGAACAACATTGATTTGTCAAAACCGGTAGCTAAATGGTGCGACAGTCTGTATTATGAGTAAATTATCGTGGTTTTCATCTTACCTATGCGGACTCTTCCAAACTGTGATAGTGGGTCCCACAAGGTTCGGTCTTAGGCCCCATGTTATTCACGGCCTACACATTATCCCTTGGTAGTATCATGCGCCACAATAATCAAAAGTACCAATTGTAAGCTGACAACACTCAGCTTTACATAAGCTTCGAGCATTCCAATGAACAAGATGAAATTGATAACCTATTCGATACTAGATGAAGGCAAAAAAGCTATTAAAGCTGAATGATGACAAGACCGAATTACTTGCAATTGGAAGCAAATACCATGTCAACAAAACAGAAAGCAATTTTTTGAAAATTGGTGACACTGTAGTTGAAGCCAACACTACGTCTGTACAAAATCTAGGCGTACGATTCAATTCTGCGTGCGATATGTCCGATAACATTACGTCTGTGTGCAGATCTGTCAACTTTCATCTTAACAATATCGGTAAAATACGCAATATGTTTGACCAGCCAACCGCGAAGATGCTAGTTAAATCCCTTGTAACATATTGACTACTGCAACTCACTCCTATATAATTCTCCTAAATAGGCTGTTTGCAGAAACTACAAAAAAGGCTGCCAGGATAGTTTCTAGGATGAAGCCATCAGAAAATACCACTCCAATTTTGAAAGAACTTCACTAGCTCCCAGTCAACAACATAATTAAATTCAAGATTTTATCCCTGATCTATTCAACGCTAAACTGCGAAATTGTCCCACAATACCCAAAAGACCTCCTGGTCCCATATACTCCACCTAAAACCTAGCAGGAACGAGAGCCTGTAGCTATTCTGCTCCATAGAATAGTTTGAGTGAATTTCTGATAAATAAAACCGTTCTTTTCCGACTTACTTTCAAGTGTTGATTTATATATTCCAGGGTTTATATATATATGTGTAACAATCACTTATCCGTGTATGTAAAATGTATTATATTTGTGTATTGTATTGTATTGTATTATTTTTATTTTTTATTTTTTATTTTAAAAATTGTGTTTGTAAAGCGCCACATAGGAACACTTGTGTTGGATATTCGGCGCTATATACATGATAGAATTATTATGATTAGAAATTTAACTTTTATTTTAACTTGATTTTTTCAGTGGGATTTAGTGTGTGATAAGAGATGGGTTGGTTTCACCATAACTTCAATACAAATGGCGGGGGTTTTGGTTGGTTCACTCGTTGCAGGATATATATCTGATGTTTTTGGTAGAAAGAAAACCTTATATGGCAGCCAATTAGTGTTGTTCGTAATGAATGTCGTCAATATATTCTCGCCATCGTGGCAGGTTTTTGCTGGACTAAGATTTGTGGTCGGTTTAGCCCTCGGTGGGATTATGACTGTTAATTTTCCGCTAGCCATGGAATTTGTTGGCCCTCGATGGAGAAGTATCCTGGGAGCCATTCCAGCGTTTTCATTAGGCTGTGCTTTAATGCCATTGGTTCTATGGTTAACTCCACAGTGGTATCATTTTGAAGTTTCCTGTGCCGTTTTAAGTTTTATTTCACTATTAGGTTGGTTGTAAGTATACTGTTTTAATAAAAACGAGAGTACAATTTTATTCCATGATGTCATGTGTAATTATATTTGATTCGGGGGTACAATTTAAGCTTATTTGGTATTCGCGATGACATTTTCAATCGAGGAATCTGCGAGGGTCTAGAGCTGGGTTCTAAACCAATCGAAATCAGTGACGCAAAATATAGAGTATGACGTGAAGGCATTGATAAGATGTACGGGGTTAAAAAGCGAGATCGATCCATCTATTGAAGATTCCCATACTTGACCAACATAACTGCCGAATTTGAAGTATTTCACAATTCATATAGGCCTACATGTATTCGCATAGTCATTTGCGACTTTGGGCTTCGATGAGAATAAAGATGGAAAACATAGACATGACATGTTTCGATGCGCTATTTTCTCAAATTGTCCTCCATTACAATTTATAAAATCTACATTATCTGGAACAGCTTATCCGTTATGAGCATTTCCAATCTTCCATATACGGCGAATTTACTTGTGGGTAATTCATTTACCGAATTACCTTACATGTATTCTTGACCTTCATGTGCCAGCAAAATAAAGTAACCCTCAGTTCTACGGGGATTTTTTTTTTAGAATAATTTTATGGACAAATAAATGTTCTTTCTCGTCTTTACTTGAAGCTATGTTCCAGAAAGTATCAGGTGGTTGGCAGTAAAAGGAAAAATAGATGAAGCCGAAAAAATCATTTCTAATATCGCCAGAAGAAATAAGAAGCCGACACCAGATATGAAAGTTTTACGGGTTATATATGAAGAAGAAATATTTCATAGCAAGGGAAAAAGCTATTCCTACTTAGATTTATTTAGAACTAAAGACATGGCTAAACGGACACTAATATTATCAGTGGCATGGTTTGTATGACATAAATTACAAGATCGTTATATATTGTTTTCTGTTACAAACGAGAAAAGTGGTAATACTGATGCTAAACCCGATTCCATCTAGTATCAATCAAATGTAGTATTTAGTTGATTCCATCTAGCATCAACCAAATGTAATATTTAGTTGATTCCATCTAGCATCAATCAAATGTAATATTTAGTTGATAGACTGACTTGCGGGAGATGAACAATACTTTGATCATTCGAACTATTCATTTTATGTAGCGTTCCATTAAACGCATTTTGAATGTGCTTTGCAGCTGTCTCTCAGTTGACTAATTTGTTTGGGAATACCCTAGATTATTACTAAAGTGCATTAAATTAACCTTGGTATTAGGCATAGCAACCCGGACCTTAAATAGTGTTGTTTTGTTGAGTTGGTTTTTTTTTTAAAAATAAAACAACAAACAAACAAACGATATTAATACTTCTTCAGTACGGATATAGCCACACCTCTCACCGATTAAGGTGGGGTAGCAATGGTTCACAGTGACCGGGCACAATGATACTTTTGGCGTCTCTTCACGGGTATAGTCATAATAATCGTGTCTGGTTTACTAAACTGTCTTAAATTGCATAATATAGGAATGGAATGAAATAGATGGAAAGACTATGGTTAAAATTCGACGGATTCCCACGCAGTGGTTCAGTAAAAGAATCAGATAAATATCGCAAGACACACCAGCTAAGACATAATCTGGGCATCAGAGAGAGAGGGAGAGAGTGAGAGAGAGTGAAAGAGAGAGAGAGAGTTTAACGTCCACTCGACACAAACTAGGTCATTTCGGGACTAACATATATGGTCTTTAGCAGTGGGAGGAAACCGGAGGACCCGGAGAAAACCCATGAGGTTGGACAGACGACCCTACTCCTTGTCACGTACAACCGAGGTAGCGAAACCATGCCAGTTGACTCGATGACAGGCCTTATGATACAGCGCGCACGTGCTAACCATTCGCCCCCCCACCCCGCCCCACCCACCGTTCAAAGACATTTTGTTCATTTGAAGGGGTTGAACATAAATATATACATTAGTTGGTGGTAAATGCTAGTTTGTCTCTATATTCTTTCAGGATGTCGCAATCGATGACTTTCTTCTGTGTTGCATTGGGGGTTCAAAATTTGGCTGGAAATTTATTTCTTAACATGTTTTTATTAACCATTGTGGAGATGCCGTCCCATTTAATTGTTTTACTGTCTGCCAATACGTAAGTGTTCTCGTCGTTTAAAATCTCAGCTAACAAGTTACAATATTTCCTGTTGTTTCCATCGCAAAAATGTGTTGCTTTTAAAAGTGTAATGATAAATTCACATTTCTCATATGACATTCGATGTATGGTTTAAAACACCAACAACATGGTCAGTGAATTATATAATTTGTCATACATATCAAAGTTAACATTAAACGTTTATTTTGTACAATGAAAATGCCCCTAAATCATACTCTTGTGGTACACCTATATAATCTGATTTCATCGGTATTACATTCGTTATTATAAAATGTATCTTTATTGCCAGTTAACCCACCGAAAACGTTGCGAAAATTTAAATAAATTGCAAGTTATTACTTACTTTCAGAGTGGGTAGAAGATGGTCTGTAGCAGGGTTTTATTATGCTACGGGTCTTCTTGGTCTTGGAGCAGCTTTAGCTACTTTATATGGTAGGTCTACCATACGTTTCTATTCTGCTAAATATCATTTGTTCTCGGGTATACAGAAATAACACCCAACGTTTTTCGTTTGTTTTATTATCCTATATTTAGTATAATCCTCGGGGTAATATATTTTATTTACGCCAGTCTGTCGATATAACATACTGGTGAAGGAAATTTAGATTTAGAAAGTCAGAGCCTAATACATAGATTTTTTTTTATTTTTCAGCACCAGATTCATCCCGTGGATCTATAGTTAATGCCTGTGCTATGTTAGCAAATCTATGTGTGGGTACTAGCTGGACAGTAATGATGGTGTTTACTACAGAACAATATCCTACAGTTATAAGGTGAATAAGAGTATATTTATGTAATGATGTGTTGTTCAAACTGAGCAGTTTTGGAATGTAATATTTTGTAAGTATAATAATATACAATATTCAGACCAATGTTTATATGTAATTATTCAGTATACACTTTATGTTTAATGATATGAGCTCATCAGAACAGTATTTAGATCTAACACAAACACAAGACAACCGCCCCCCCCCCCCCCTCCACCGGCCTAGATGTTCTAGGCAGTTTTGTGTTGTAATATGCTGTTTTATTAAACGATATAGATATTTCAGTATTAAGGTGTGGTGTATTTGCAGGAATCTTGGATATGGTGTTGGTAATATGATGGCACGTTTAGGGGCTATATTTTCATCACAGATAGTAGCGTTAGTAAGTATATACCTTAGTTTGATGAAGTTACCATTGCTACACAAACGGGTTTTGATTACTAAGTATTTTTAAAGACATTAGACTCACAGCTAGAATATCCAGATGATATTTGCGCCTTGTAAAACATACCTTTACATTTGGAATTCGAGTATCTGGAAACTTCGAAACCTGTTTCAAAAATACGTAAAAACTGTCAAATCAAAATCTCTCCGGTTTAGATTCACAACGATTGCTATACATAATAAAACTAATTGTCCGGGAAAAAAAACAACAATTGAATAGTTTCATACTGTGGTTTCGCTTCAGTCACCAAAATAGGCAGTGAAGCAACGGTGGCCCAATGTGTGAGGCACTTGCTCACTGCCCAGCATTGTCCGTATCCCCAGTGGTATCGTTCCTTTCGTGTGGGTCCATTCACGGGGTTGTCACGAATTCAAATTTTGATTCTACAACCCAATCAAAAAAACAGTTAAATACCAGTCTCAGCGTCATTGCTTACGTTCACCATAATAATCTTAGTTGCGATAAAATGCGACTTACTTCCCTTCACCTACTAATTGGTCTATAAAAATAGCAGAAGTATCAAGGGTGGATGAAGGGATGCTCGATTGACCATTCTGGAATTGAATTCTGTCAAACCAAAAAGAATGACAGTCGACAGGACTGAATTCCGCGTCACACAATTGCAATTCCATCAATTCGGAACGTTTCGGACTGACAATCGAGCATCCCCCCTTGTGTCTCCCGCGTGAATGGACCCAGAGGTTAGTGGCGTAGAACGGAGCGATACCGCTGGGGATACAAAGAACGACTACCCAGGGGGTCCGGGGTTCGGTCCCGGTGTTGACCGAGAAAGACCCCCACCCCTCCCCGGTTTTTCCATCGTATATACGTTCATCTTATCAGTGATATAAGACGGAGGACCTGGCAAAAAAAGGCGCCTAGTCGTTCGGATGAGAGGAAAACCCTGGCCCCGTGTAGACGTTGGCATGCTCGTAAACAGAACCCTTATCAGTTTCTGTATGGGCAAAATTTCGCTCATAGCAAATTGCATGCCGTATAATGTCCATCTTCATTAGCCCAGTGAGGACGTTAAACCCCATTTAATTCATTCATTTAAAATAGGCAATGCATACTCCATCTAGCAAATCTAATACAATATAAGATTGCATAATTTAGTGTGAAGGCCATGCCGAGCATTTGTATAACCATTAAATAAAACGTCCATAATATATATACTTATTATAGGCCTACCAACTGATACCATATCTGGTTTTGGTAGCTGACAAAAAAATAGGACGTTTTCTGATTTTTGCAGGCAGCAGATGGAGCTTATATACCGTATGTTATAATAACAGTTTTAATGGTTCTATCGGGTAGTTTAGTTTTAACATTAAGTGAAACTAGGGGTACAGCATTGCTAGATTCTCTACAAAACAGTGAAAAGAAAGAAGAAACAACAAATCTGCAAAACAATTAACAGGTGATGAGATGTGCATGGGTGTATCCAACTAGGACATTGTAGCCTATTTGTTAAATAGTGACAGACAATTTCTGTGAAAGCAGTCATATCGTCTATAATTTTAGATCTGAATTCATATTAAATAGGTGTATATATCTTAAATACAGTACAAAAAAAGTTAAATGTATATCAACATAACAGAAGATGTAGTGCACCTGAATTTAAACATGATCAAACCAACAAACTCCATTATATTTATCTCTTCCTGACTGCCCAGAAAAACAGTTTTGGCCTTTAATTGTATGATAAACACGTCCGGAATATAAGTCCCTTGGTGTCATTTGTATTTTTCGACTTTATACACGTTTATTTAATTAAGAAACCAAATTAAAATATTAACGTTGGATATTCTCTCGGCTTCTATTCAATCCGATGCAAAGGGTGTCCATGAAAATTTTAGGTGGGGCTGACAGATTTTGACCCTATCCCATTATGTGTTGACAAATTTTGAAATCATCATATCTTTGTAAAGACTGAACGGAATCCAATCGTTTTTGGATTCCTATTCCTTTCGGAGTTCGCCATTAACAATTCGTAAATGACGTTCATAGGAGTAAGTGACACACGTGCTGAAAAACAGATTCGCGTGATGTACTTAGTTATTTTCTTGAAAAGTGTCAAGATTTGTTTAAAATATATATACCACCACCAAAGTCCATGCATTATATAAACGTTTAGTGCTATTCTTGTCAGCATAATGGACTGAACTCTATACCTCACATCTAAAAATGACACAATTTGTTTAAAACTTCTTCTTGTTCCTTGCTATTGTTTTGATTTTTTTCAAATAAAATCCATTTTTATCAGATTTTCTTAACAACTTGTTCATTTTTATCATTCGGATTCCTTTTATCACAGTATATGTCAATTTTGGTGTCCTAGTCTAAATATATATATACAGAAATACAATTTTTAGCAGATTGTGTGAAATGGCACTCGTCAACCTTATTGCACTATAAGCATCCTCGATTCTTGAAACAATCACAACCATATTATATAAATTATACAAATTTAGTGCGAAGCCAGTTGTATATATGTGTAAACAAATGCTCAAGAAATCAAATATAGATGTACATTAAACGATAAACCAAAGATAAAATTTTAATAAATATGTATATAAAATGTTTGTGGTTGTTTTTGTTTTTATGTTCGAATTTTTGTTTTCTTCTCTGAAATACCAGATTGCTTGCTTCCCTATGTCACGGCCTGGGACGTCCAGTTTGATTCAAAATAAATTATATATACACGAATGTATTCCTCTCTCTCGTCTGTGTGGCTGTGAATGTGATCGCTCTCTACTTCAGTCAGTAACGTTAAAATTATACTTGGAAAGTGTTTATCCAGTTCTATCGAAACCAACTAGTTCACTTTGGGACTAACAAAATATGGTACATTTTATTTTTTTAATTGCGCGTAAGGGTCTTTAGCTGTTTGGAGAAACCGGACAGGGAAAACCCACGAATTTAGTCACGTACAAATGGGGGATCGACACCACGCCACAATGGCAGACCTTATGATCTTAAGCGCAAGCGTTAGGTCATTCAGCCTCCAAACAGCCCCAAAAACTAAATAATATATAACTTATAAAGAGAAAAAGTTACTATATGTTGTATTCTCTCTCTCTCTCTCTCTTTCTCTCTATCTCTCTCCACACACACACACACACACACACATCCCACTGTCTATTGACCCGCCGTTCATTAACTCTTCGGCAATATTTAAGATTTAATTGGCATGTTTCTATTTGGCACCATTCTTCAACTCAGCCGACGGAGACAAGTTTTGGGTTGTTTGTTTTTTTGCAATTTTAATGCTAGAGGCGCTTAAAATTGGATCCATTCCAATTTATGGATGGGGAAGGGGGGTTGGGCAGTAGCGGATTATCAGTGAGGCTGATGAGGCTGCAGCCTCAGGCCCAAAGATTTTGTAAAAAAAATTTTTTTAGACTTGTCTCATACGATTAAAAACGCATAGACAATGAATGTTAGGGGGTGGGGTTTAGGCCTAACGGGAATCAACATAGGCCCTGACCCGAAATTAATTAGGCCCACGCTATTTTAAATAAGCCCTATTGTTTGGAGATCTGATCTTATTTTTTAAACGTAGGCCTACAATGTACGTTAAATGCGTGTACTTTGTTATACTTGATCAAATAGAATCCGCACTTGACCAACGACAGACGGCCTAGAGTGATTTGACTGGAAAATTCGGATTTCTGTCACGGTTATCCGAACTCACTGCAGACGAAGTTCGTGACTTTGGACAAAACCTTGTTCGATCGTACCCAGAATTGAGTGATACATCGAGTGACCTATTAGTCCAATTCTGTGAACTGTACAAAGAAACCGAGGGGGCGCCATTCAGACCAACATCCCACGAATCAATTGCTACATCGAAACCATCAAAAATGATGGAGATGTTTTACGACTCAAACACAGGCCCCGGTTTAAGGGGTACGTTTCCGGATGTGGAGTTGATATTGCGGATGTGTTTGTGTCTAATGGTATCCAATTGTACTGGAGAGTGATCATTCTCGGTACTAAAGCGTGTCAAAAACCATATGCGCTCGACAATGACACAGTACAGACTTAATTATCTGTCCATTATGTGCATAGAAAATGATATTCTCCAGCAATTAAACATCGATGATGTCAAAGATATTTGCCTTTAATAAGACACGGAAAGTTGCGTTGTAACAGTTTAGTTATTTTCTGCAAATTAGAAAAAAACGCCCCAGATACAGTATGCCTCTTTGTTTCATATGTCATATCGTTTTCTTTATTAACTTCATCTAAATAAAGGGCTAATAGAAAAAAAAATATCTAGCAAAAGATCTTGCGCTAGTTTCGATGTAAACACCCCATCATGAGGAAATATTATCCTTGAAAATAGGTGTATGTACAGTTGGTTTCCGGTGATGTTTCTGCTGTCAAAGCATTTTGTACGACAAATTTCAATAGTTATAACTAATATTTTAATAATATTATAACCTCAGTAACGAATCCCGTTTTTAATGTTAGCAACTACCTTGGCTCTAACTTTAAAAACTAAATAGGCCCTCCAGCAACTGCCGCCTCAGGCCTTGGTGGGGCTTAATCCGCCACTGTTTACGTGCTAAACTGCTATGTCCAGGGTTTCTTTTTTTTCTTTTTTTTTGCAACCCCGATAATAAGAAAACTGTGATACCCGAACTCTTTAATTTGTCTTTTTAAATTATCTTTCTTCGGTTGTTTGTACCTAATGAAATCTGGAGGTATATATTATGCTTTATTTTCTTTGTTTATTTGCTGCGGGCTCCTTTATGGGTTTACATTTTTTTCATCTCTGTCTTTGTTTTGTTCGTGTAAACGAATTGCTCAGAGCTGTTGACGTATTTATTTTCAATACAGAATTTATGAAAGAGATTACTGTGTACATTTCCTCACGGCAACAGTTGAACTGATTGTGAAATGAGACAGCCATCACGTCATAAACGGTCGGTCATGATGACATGGATTAAAATTTCCATACTCATCTCTAAAAACTAGTAGCATTGTTGTGAAATATACATGACGTGCCGCAATGTGTTTATATTTATACTAAGTATTTCATTGAATGTTATTGTATAGCATTTTCCGAGATAAATATTAGTAGGTCTAAACAACGAGTGTTGGCCCCTAACCATTTAACAATAAATGAACAAATACAAATGTGAGCATAGCAAGGACAATAAGTCTGTAAGTATAATGAAGAGGGTGGCCAGATTTTGTTATTTGTTTAAAGGATTTAAAAGGGTCACCCAGAAATGCAAATAGCGTTTGTTAAGGAATCTGAAGCACTGGGGTTTCGGGGCGGTTATCTCCCCTATCCCATTCCTGCAAAGGTGAGAAACATTTTGCATTTCGACGGAATTTTGGGATGTAAACCCTGTGCTTTGTGTAACAATTAGTGTGGTGTTTACTTAAAAATGCTACTTTCCATCTCTCAAATCGTATAAAAAGCTTGTGATTATCATTTGACAGTTTCGGTATTTCCCTAGTGCTTCTTAATTTTTATACGCCCACATTTTCAAGGCCCTGTCCGTCCGTCCCTCCGTCTCCAATTTGTTTGTGGACACTCTACAGGTCACAATTTTTATCCGTTTTAGAAAAAACTTGAAATGGATGTTTATACCCCTAAGATCTCGGTTCCTTTCGATATTCGCGCATATCGGACCTCAACTGCCTCGATTATGGCCCCTGATTGTAGGAAAAATCGCATTTTTAGCTTGTACCCCCCCCCCCCCCCCAGGTCACAATTTTTATACGATTTAAAAACACATTCACATATATCACCGTTACACCATAATTATGAATGAGTTCGAATTTCGTGAAAATCGGACCGTAAATGGCCGATCTATGTACGCAAATGTGTTTATGTCCCAAAAATCTTGGTTCCTTTCCATATTCGATATCGGAACATAAGTTCCTGGATTATGGCCCCTGATTGAACGAAAAAGTGGCGATTATAGCTTGTGGAACCTCTTTAGGTCACAATTTTTATCTGATTTTAAAAAGTCGTTTAAATATCACCGTTACACATTGATGGTGATTGCATTAGAATTTCGTATAAATCGACCCGACTAAATGGCCGCTCCGTCAACGCAAATAGTGTAAAAGTATATATATTTCGTTTAGTTTTTTTTTATACTTTCGCTGGCCTCTACTACATTAAGATCTGACCGGTTGTAGCGGAAGGTCGCGTCAGGGTCATACAAAGGCTTTTGACTCTATGACGTCAACATTGATGTTTCTAGTGGGTTACCCACAGTTCTGTGCACTTCACGCCAAAAACTCACCGTAACAGACCGTTTCATTGGCTAATCCCTCACATCATCCAGAACGCGGGTTATATAACAATTCTTTGAGATCCTAGTGTAGTAAAGACAAGTAAAACGGGATTTTGAACTATAAAAAACGGAACGAAACAGGATCTGTGTTTTAATCATATTTGTAATACCAAGGTTGTGGGCCCGCTAGAGGTTACAATTTTTATCCCATTTAGATGAAACTTATACCATGGACCTGCTTATACTGTATGTTTATAACTCAGTGATCTCAGTTTCTGTCGATATTCGCGCATATCGCACCTCAATCGTTTAAATATATCACCTTACACCCTGATAATGATTGAGTTTGAATTTTGTGAAAATCAGACCTAAACTGCCCGCTCCTTCTACGCAAATATATAGTGTAAAAGTATGTAATACCAAGGTTGTGGACCCTCTTAGAGGTCAGAATTTTTATCTGATTTTGATGAAACTTAAAATATATGTTTATATACCAGACATTTCGATTCCATTTGATATTCGCGCATTTCGGACCATAACTTTCAGCTCGTTTTCTGTCCATCTATTGCAAAATGTGGGCGTATCTTCTTGCATGGCAACGGCTTGTTTTCACAACGCAGTGGGGCACTTTCTTTTAGTAAGTATTAAAAAAATCCCTGCTAATCCATTTCGGGTATCTTAAACATACATTATGCAAGAGCTAAATCTGCCTATTGCAGGTCTTTCTTTGGGCCTGCCCTGAAATGTTATCTAAATTATTAATTAGACATTAATTAACTTATCAAGACCATAATCAACTCTCGATGTCATGACTAGCCTGCGATATTTACTGGATTAGGATCCGATCTGCTGCTCTAGCTCTTCCTGATTAATTCAAGAAATGGATAATCGAGACTATGTGTTTTATCGTGCCGACTTTAGTAATGATGATCGAGGATAGGTCCAAAATTCAATCGGAAAATTCTTGGTTCAGAGTGGATCAATTTGACTGAAATTTTTAGCAAATTCCCATTACATTATCTAGTTTTTAACTATTATAGTGAGAACTGCCAGCTCTTTATCTATTCTCCCATAATGTATCTTTAACAAGGCCATAAACTCTCAACAATTTTAGCAACGTCAATAAATGGCCCATACTCTTATTCTCAACAATTTCAGCAACGTCAATAAATGGCCCATACTCTTATTCTGATATGTTTGCAAGAAAATGTGAAGGGTCAACTGCCACTTTTACCCGAAAACCAGTATTTTGGGATTTTTTGGAAGACACTATAAAGGTACTTGGAGTTCCATAATTGAATTCTCTCAATCAAATGAAT